AAGTTAATTCAGTCCATCTCCAAAGGATATGGGGTAACCGTGGACCATTGTTAAGCAAAGAAGGCCAAACATCATCTGGAAATTGCAATCCAAGAGGTTTGGATCCATTCCATAAAGCCATGAGTGGGCTTGTGATATGGCTTATAGGGTAAAGGCATTTGCTGCTAAGCCTGATGACCTATTCAGTTGTTGGAACTCACAAAGTTGGAGAGAACTGATTGTTGCAAGTTAACCTCTGGCCTTTACATGTGCATTGTAGCACTTCGTCATGTGGGTGTACACACACACACACATATACAAATAAATAAATACACAGATAGATAGATAGATAGATAGATAGATAGATAGATAGATGATGGATGGATGGATGGATGGATAGATAGATAGATAGATAAAGTAAAGCCAGGAGTGACATCAGGAAGTTTAACCTCCTTAATCAGGCTAAGAAAGTTGAACTTAAAAGTACTGGGGCTGGGACTTGGGACTTGGGGAAGATGGCACAGTAGGCAAAGTGCATGAAGAATCCACAGAAATCCTGGCCTGGCAGTACACATCTCTAATTCCAGTGTTCTTACAGTGAGATGGAAGGTGAAGACAGAAGAATCCCAAGAGGCTCGTGGACTAGCTAACCTGACTTATACAGCAGCAAACAACAAAGAGACTCCATCTCAAACTGGAAAGTGAGATGATGATTCTGCACTGTGGCTGCTTTGAGGTCACCGTGTTCTGATTGATATAAACCCCAGAAACTCATTGGTTCCCAGGGTGAACTCTAATGGGCTTGCACTTTGATGTTCACATCTCCCCCAGAAAAGCAGTTTTTTTTTGTTTTGTTTTGTTTTTTTTTTTTTTTTGGTTTTTCGAGACAGGGTTTCTCTGTATAGCCCTGGCTGTCCTGGAACTCACTCTGTAGACCAGGCTGGCCTCGAACTCAGAAATCCGCCTGCCTCTGCCTCCCAAGTGCTGGGATTAAAGGCGTGCGCCACCACCGCCCGGCAGAAAAGCAGTTTTTACAATAGTAAGGTTTGTGCAGTTTTGTTGTTCTTTGTTTGTTTTGATACTGGGGTCTTGATGTATAACTGCCTTGTCTGGAACTTGTCACAATCCACCTGTCTCAATCTCCCAGCTGCTTGAGATTACAGGTATGTACCACTACTCCCAACAAGCCTTGATGTCAAACTAGACATTACTGGATACAGCCTATGCTTAGTAGCTCACCTTAGTAACTTGTTCTCATATTTATCAAATTTCCACAGAAAATACACTTCTCTTATCCGAGGGAAGGTTGGGTACATTTGGTGTCCTCGTGGAATGAGCTTGAGAGGAAGCATGGCTTTCTAGGGGGTTGGGTTTGGGATCACAAAATGCATAAACAATAAACTAGGACTTCACGGTCTGAAAAGACCACCAAGGAGATGCGTGCACACTGGAAAAGATGCATGGGAACATATCTGATCTATCTCCCTAAGGACACTCAGAAGGATTAAAGCTCCAGAAAGATAAAAGGTGGACTGATCTGGACCAGGAGATCATTCTTCAGTGACAGGGTCCTAAGTGGAAGGGCCAGGACATCAGAAGATGAAGACAGGAAAAGTTTGGCAATAGGAAGTATTGGACAAACTGATGACTTGCAAGCTTTATTCGGAAGTGCAGCATCTACAACCAGGGGAGAAATGGGGCAGAGTCTGCAGAGAATATCATTCAACCAGACAACGTCAACAGAAAGCAAATCAAGCAGAGTTGCAGAAAAGGAACACAGGGTGGTTCAAGAGCCTTACAGACCTAGCACACAGCAGCCTTAGGACTGACTGAGAGCTAGCTAACTCCAGTCTCCACAGAGGGGAAAGCCAAATTCCCAGGAACCAAAACCTTAACTCCTTTGAGGCCCTGGCCACCAGCCCCAGACTGGCTCTGCAAAGTCTGGTTTTGGCCAATGACACAGAGCTAGGTTCCTGATGTCCTTTCATTAGGGCCTCTGAGAGAAGCACTGGATTGGCCTGGCTCTCACTAAAACACTGAAGGCAGACAAAAAAGTGTTAGCTTAGCCTCTGAAGGACAGTTCATATCCAAGAACTGTTGTGGGTTTTGTGTGTTGTTTGTTGCTTCTCATGTTGTGTTTTCTTGTCATTCTTGCATGGGACCCAGGCTTGTCTTCATTGTATCATTCCAATGTTAGCATGTGTGCTGCCTGCCAGAAGAGGGCATTGGATCCCTGGGAACTGGAATTACTGATGGCTGTGAGCCTCCATATGGGTGCTATGAGTCAAACTTGGGTCCTCTGGAAGAGCAGCCAGTGCTCTTTAACTGCTGAGCCATCCCTGCAGCCTTGTTTTCTTATTCTAATAGAATGTACTGCTTATGAGACCCAGAGGAAAGATTCTTCTCTTTCCTTAATAGTTTTTCTGGCCTAGGAAGAAAAATCATGTAAAGAGGGAAGACAATCACTAAAAATAACTCTCAAGGGCTGGAGAAATGGCTTATTGGTTAAAAGCATTGGTTGTTCTTCCAGAGGTCCTGAGTTTAATTCCCAGCAACCACGTGGTGGCTCACAACCATCTGTAATGGGGTCTGATGCCCTCTTCTGGTGTGTCTGAAGACAGCTATAGTGTACTCAACTCATATACATAAAATAAATAAATAAATCTTGAAGAAGAAAAAAACACTCTCAAAACTATACCAAAGTCTGATAATAGAATTTTAGAACAAAACTTTTCAAAATTACAAGAAGCAAAAGTTCTCTTCCAATTTAATCAGCTGCTGCAGACTGCCATTAATAAAACTGACCCAGCACTCATTCGTGACCAGTACATGCAGAATTCTTCTCTGGTAAAAATTTCTATATGTTCTAATTAAGAAGAGTTTTAAGAGATAATTTAACTAAGCATGTTGCAAAAATAGGGTTAAAGTTGGAAGGCATGCTAAATCTTATAATTACTTTGAGAAAACACAAGTTAGTTCTCTTGAAGGAACAAGTCCAGGCCCAATTACTCATAATGGGCTGCCTGACATAATAGGCCCTACTGCACTGATTTCTGTCTGGCATAAACCAACATTCTCTTGATGACCCCCCTCTACCTTTTTATACCCACAGTAATGAAATTATAATGATTGCTAAATGAAATAAGTTTAGTCAGGTCTGATTAGACTTCTGGTACTATCTGCTACACAGTTGAGAACATGAATTCTAAACGGTCTCCTGGGACTTGCTCCTGAAAGCTGGTGGTAGGCTGTGGTAAACTCACAAGAAATGTATCCGTCATGCTACAGTCAATTAGCTAATACTTGGGCCACTGAGAGCCTTGTCAGATGCTCCCCTGTATTTCAAGACTCATGCCATAACCAATGAGTTTTCCAGAAAGGGCCATTATAAAGTTTCAGGAAAGTTTATGTTAATCTACAGTCTTATTCAGTTTTTATATTAACTACCCTTCACATCCATTTTATGTGCAAAGTCATTAAAAAAAATAAGAGAAAAGAGACTTAAATCATGAAGTCCACTAAAAGTTAAGATTACCAGTTAATAATAATTAGTTGGATACTTAGAGAATCTCAAGATGCTACTGTATCTAGGATCATACTAGTGTAACAGTTCTATCATGCCACTACCTCTAAGTTATGAAGGTCATGATATATACAACTTACATGACAGACTAAGACTCAAAACTTAAGAAATGTCATTACTATCTTCAAAACTTAATAGGAACAGATTGTCTAATCATTTAAGGGATAACTCAAGGGAGTCTAATGGCTGTAGATTACAAGATACACTACAATCCCAACATTCTTTAATGTTTTAAATTTTTATAAGTTGCTAATTGCTACTTGTGGTGGTTTGAATGAGAATTTCCCATACAGGCTCATGAAGACTTGGTCCTCAGATGGTGGTGCTGTTTGGGGAGGCTGTGTCTTTGCTAAAGGAAGCACGCACTGGGTGGGAATGAGACAGTGTGTGTGGGGGGGTGGGGGGTGCTTTCAGAGCTTAAGACTTCTCCCTATTTGTAGGTTGCTGTTCTGTGCTTATGATAAAGAATGTGAGTTTTCAGCGTTCTTGCTTCTAGCCACCACATCAGGATGATCTATCTCTGGAACTAAAAGTCCAATAAACCCTTCCTTAAGTTGCCTTGGTTATGCTGTCTCTTCACAGTAAAGTAAGAAAAACAATTAATACAGAGTATTGGGTAATGCAGCTCAGCTCTAACAAGGGGCCAGCACAACTGCTAGGTCTGAGGAGGTTAAGGAAAAGGAACAACTCCTAAAACCTTAAGCAATGCAGCAATGCAGTATTAGTGTTCTGCCTTACCATACAGGCACCTATGGCCTTGGCAGAATGCACAATGTCAACCTGTAGACTAGCAGAGGAAAAGCCACACCTACTGTGGCTCACTTCCTGCTCCCCCTTCCCATGACACACATCCCATTCTTATAGTACTTGTGTATAGTACAGTATTGTATAGTATGGTACTTATCTGACTTGTGGACTGAGGCTGCCTATCTAAGCTGCTTGGGGGGCTCCAGTGACAGCTGACAATGAGAGATAGCCTGGAACAAACATCATTCATTATACCAGGTACAAACTTAAGGCATTAAATGTCTGGTTTATTAGCACTAATAAAGCTAGATAAATATAAAAATATTAGCAAAAAAGTAATCAAAAGCACAATTTTCAAGTTGTACTTTTTCTCATTGTTAAAGTTCTCTGTGTTCAAACTAAAAGCACGAGTCTTTAAACTGCAGTGTTCATTTCAGACTGTTTGCCTATTGGAACAGGTCAACACTATATTCCTGAACTATATTCAACTGTGTATTTTTACCAAGGATCTGTGTGGAACTTTTTCCAAAATATAATGTAGATCACAAGACCCAAGTTTGGGATTTTTTTTTCCCCCTTAGGCTAAAGGTTGTGACTCAATAAATGGCTAGGACCCGAAAGTTGGCAGAATCCCAGAAAACTGGACACATGATGCTGAGGCCCTTAGGACATATGCCACTCTTTTGACTGCTTTGTTTTTATACTCACTGTTGGTCTGTATTTTAATCATTTCCATGGTTTATGCTCAATAGTGTGGTAAGGAAGAAAGGTGTATGTGTTAGAAGCATAGCAATACAACCAAATTCATCCTTAGGTCCTGAATATATCAAAGTCTTTATTGCCCTGAACTTAAGGAAGAAAGATCTAATGCCACTGTGTGGGGGTTGAAATAAGTACCAAAGGAAAAGCAGTTCCCTCCACCTCCAACAAGCAGGAGCTGCTGCTCTTCAGGGAGGAGGGCACTGCTGTGGTTGTGCAACATGAATGGCCATGGCACAGACGCTGTATCAATCTGATATTCAGAGCTAGACCCTGTGGTCAAACTGATGACAGTCACTCCAGGAACCGAGGAGGAATGAATCCAGACCCCTCCAACCAGAAGCAGCTTTCCATTAAATACATGAGCGGTGTGAGAGTATCTTGGGGTAATGGAGGGCTGGATATCTATTGATTCCCAGAGGAATCCAGAGGACATTGGTCTGAGAAAGAGTACAGAGCTCAGCGGTTCCTCAGAAGCCCCAAGACCTCCAGCGACAAGTACTCCCCCTTGCCAACTGCAGGCGCTATGGGAATGCCGACCTCTGGGGGATGCACCTTGTACTGGGATTCTGACCCAAGCCATTGTCTCTACATGTAAAAAGTGACAGTCACTTAGCACAGGTTCTGCCACACTTCGGCCACCATACACAAATAAGTATCTTTGATTCTGATAGTATACTTCTGTTGTTGAATGCCGCCAACGTGACAACATGGAACCTTCTTCCAAGGCAGCCTTAGTTACCATTACATTTTGGCCCTCAGGGCAATGATCCTCACTTTTGTATAAATCAAGTTGGAGAGCCCCAGAGGCTGGACTTACTGGGGATAGTCTCCCTCCAAGAACCAAAACCCGAGTATCAGAAAGCCTTGTCATGGTGTGATAAAGGCGTCCATCCCACTGGCCTTCAGTCCCTAAAGTACTTATTTGGCAGCCTTTCCATTCAGAGTCACAGGATCTTGAGAGCAAGTGAAACTTGCTCACTCGGCAGTGTCGTCCCTCTTGTTCTCCAAAGCCTCCCGCACTAAAAATAACGTCAGGGCTCAAGAGGACAGAGGTGTGGCCATATCGCTTCAGGCTTGAGTGCTGGTGATCACTAGTGACTACTCTGGCAGAAAGAAACCCTGAAGGCGAAGCAGGATCTATCTGAAAAGAAGCCTCTGAGGGCAGAAACACTGGAGTTTTTGACAGAATGTCTCCCCTAGATGCTGCCAGGATGAAATAGTGAGAACACTTCAGATGCCACTCCTCATATTCATCAAACGGCTCAAGCGTCTCGACTCGCTGGCGCTCATCTGCTGGGAGAAGGCAGCGATAGAACTCGTTCAGGTCCAGGGCGCTGCAGGCAGTCCAGCCAGCTTGAAGGAAGCGCTGGCGCTGGGCCTCCACGTCGGGAAACAGCTCCAGGCCATGCAGGGGTGAGTGCAAGCGCTCAAAGTGCTGCAGCATGATTTGCCCAAAGGCATCGTCCGGCTTCATCTGCTCATAGATCACGAAAAGAGCGTCGGGGAAACGATGGGCAGCCCAGGCGATGAGGGCTGCAGCACTGGAGGGCTCCAGATACGTCAGCACCGCCTCGGCCAGGAGCAGCGTGGGGGAGGTGGCGTTCAGGCCAGCGCCGTCCAGGGCCTCGTCTAATCGCTGGAGCTCCCGCAGGTCAGCGCCCAGAATGCGGTAGTCCGAGCTCTCAAAGCACAGAGTTGACACCGAGTCTCCGATCTTGAAAGGACCGGTCTGCGCGCACAGCTCCGGGGTCTCCTCGATCCTCTTCGCCTTCAGCCGAGACACATCCGGAAAGTCAACCTCCCAGACGGCAGCTCGGGCCAGCAGGCCCGCAGCTTTCAAACGAAAATAAAGCGAGTCGTAGCCTGAGCCCAATGACAGGACCTGTGCCCTGGTCGGGGACGGGAGCGCGCCAGTAAGTTCGAGGAAGGCGCGCACGCAGTGACGCACGGCGCGCGCGCGCACGTAATAGCCGCGGTGGATAAGCGGCGTGCGTCGCACGGGCCCCGGGACCAGCAGCGCCGCGAAGGCATCGCGCACATATCCGTGTGCAGCTAGCGATCGCTTGCTGAGGGAGCTGCTGTCGTTGGTGCTTTGGACCGTTCCCGCCCGGCGCTGGCGGCTTCGCGGGCCCATGACCAGAAGGTGCTCCGCAATACTCCACACAGAACACTTACCAAGCTCCAGCTCATCCGCTCAGGGTGCGTCACTTCCGGGCTGAACGCTCACTGCCAAAAAACCGCGAGAGATTTTTTTTTTTTACTTTTTTTCCTTGCAAATTACGTTTTCCCGGGTACTTGCCCTCTGCCTCATTAACAGCTAGCGCTTGGGAGCAGTTACTACTTTGTACAGGCATTTTCTACAGGAAAAAAAAAAAAAAACTTATGTAGACCCTCATATTTGAGAACATTGTTAGGTGAGTCGGAGGCTGCGACCTGATGATATCAGTTTGGTCCGGCAAAAGAGGACCAGCACCTCGGATCTTTAGCAGTCAATAATAGATTGTTCTTGCACGAAAATAACAGTTTTTCCTTTATTGAATGTTCTCGTTGCGAGGGAGAACTCATTTAAATCTTAAATTAGGCCATATGGAAAGTGAAGAAAGAGACCTTTACAGATAATTACTGATAATTTAACTCCCCTGCCCCGGTACATGCTATTTATTCTCATGCATTCTAAGTTCTGTGCTAGGTCTACAGTGAGTAAAGTATTCTGCATGACTTCACTTATAAAATGACACTCCCCTCCACTTCCAAGACTCTGTGATTCTTACGTGGTTTTATGTCCGCTGAAAATAGCTTCGGAAGAGATGTGATTATTCCCTGTGTCGTGTTGAGTTTCTCCTTCCCGCTTTTTTAAAGCAACCCAGGTTGGAGTTTTAAAGAAAGTTTCTACGTTGGGTACCTAGGAGATATCAGTAAGAAATCACTTCCAGAGATATGTAGAAACTTTATCATTTACTAATTTGGTGTCTAGCTGGATTAGGAAAGGAAATTAGAAAAACTTTAAGAAGGGTTAACTCAGAGTAGTAGAATGTAATGGTTGAGAGTATGAGTTTTGGAGTCCAGGTGGATCAAGAAAAAATTTCTATGAAGATTCGGTTATTGGAAAATGTTTTGGTGTTAGGAGCTCATTAGTGAGCTTAGAAGAGCAGATTCTGTGGCAGAACGATTCAGCGAGTACATGTCAATAAAGGCATCTAGTCTCCCAGGAGGAGCAGAGACAGGAGACTAGCTTCCATCCAAAGACAGGATCTGGGCCTGACAGACCCAGCCCACTTAAGGAAAGAGTTTGTGCAACATGAATGGGAAAGAAAAAGTGTTTTCTTGTGAAAGCAAATAACATGCTACATGTGCAAGTTAGTCTGACATTACCCAGTAGAGTTAAAGAATAACTCTGGATTTTTAGTTTTCCTTTTTTTTTCTTGTTCATTTTTTTTATTAGTCATTTCCCCACTGCAGACATAGCCTAAGTTAGCTTTGCTTGACTTAGTGGGAGTTGGGGGGTGGGAGGTGTAAAACGAAGATATCAGCAGTAGTGTTTCTATTTTGTATGATAGATCTGAAAACAGTTACATTTGTTAATATAGGTGAAAGTGATCCCACAGCTGCACACAGAGCAAGTCTTGATAAAATATGACAATCTGAAGAAAGTCCAGCACCTCAGGAATTCTGACTTTGATAAGTCCTTTGATAAGTTCAATCCAGGAATAAGAGTAAAGAGAAACTTTCCCTTTACTAAAGTGATGGAGGCCGTACAGCAGTGGCCGGGGGAGACAGACTTCTACGTGCAATTGCCAAAAGTGGTAAGAATTAACTACAGAATTCTCGTTATTGTATAATGGCTTTTGCATTGTTTTCCACAAAAGAGAAGTGAAGTTTATGGGTAGAAACTGTAGAAGAGGTATAGCTAAGCCGAGTAGCTTGTCTAGTATAAAGTACAACTAGGAACCAGGCAACCAAGGCCTGGTATGGGGCTATGAATCTAATAGACACTTGTTAACTGATTGTACTCTTGTTTTAGGAGCTTCATGCCCACTTGAATGGCTCCATCAGTTCCAGTACCATGAAGAGATTAATAGCCAAGAAGCCACATCTTAAAGTTCATGGTCACATGACCATGATTGACAAGGGAAAGAAAAGGACTTTAGAAGAGTGAGTTTGAGGAGGTTGTGGAAATTTTTCATGTCTGTATTTTGAGATTATAATATATAAGAATCACATTTTTAATACTTAAATAAGGTAGACATCTGGCATGAAATATATAACTTAACATACAGTGTTTTTCCAGCTGTCAGACTACTGACATGACAATATGTCTAGTTATTTATATTGTTTATTATATTGAGTTGTTCCTTAGATTTGAAAATAAAGACAGATTGATTTTTCTCTATTTGCTATTCCTGGCAGGATTGAAGAATAGGAATGACTAATTCATACTTTTCAATATAAATAAATAATATCTTAGCTATTCAAATTGTCTTTTTTAGATCAATGTAATTTTGAAAAAAAATGTACCCTGTAGTTCTTTGTAAATTTAAGTATATACTTACTGTTAACCTCAAATTTACTAATTAATTCCATTCTGAGAGTTTTTCTTGAGTAACAAGTTTTTGTTGATTAAAGTGTATTAAAACATTTTTTTCATTTATAGATGTTTCCAGATGTTCCAGGTTATTCACCAGCTTACTACTAGTGCTGAGGACATCCTGATGGTGAGACATGGAGGAGGGTTAGAATGGTGTGAATTTTCAAAGCAGTGCGCAGCTCACCTTGCACATGGCCTTTTGCTTTCATCAACGCTCTAATGAAAATGCTTCTTTTTTCCCCTTACCCTCCTTTATTTTTTCCTTTCTTTTTCTATTAATTTATAGATTTTTTTCCATGACAACTCTTTTAAAAACCAGTGTAAGACATTGGCCTAAGAATTAATATAAAGTCTGTTGTTGTTTTTAAAAAACAGGAAGGAAACGGTGGAAGGAAAACAGGAAGCAAGGAAACAACCAAGGTCAGCACCTTGTATTGGACAGTGAGTCCAGGCAGGGAAACCTGACCCTGCTGTCCAGACAGGACAGGTCATAAGAAATAGCTGGGAGCTAGAGGGATGCCCAGTGGCTAAGAGCACTGGTTGCTCTAGCAGAGGACCTGGGTTTGATTCCCAGCACCCACATGACACTGGGACCTCTCTGTAACTCCAGTTCCAAGCATCTGTCATCCTCTCTGACCTCTGTAGCACTGCACACACATGGTATGCAGGCATATATGCAGGAAAAACGTTTGTGCACACAAAATAAAAATAAATTTTTAAAAAAGAGAAATATTTGTCCTCAGATAGGCATTATGTTCTTATCTGTTTCTCTCTCTCTACCTTTTCATGGAGCCCAGACTAATCTCATATTTTCTCTGTAGCTGAGGCCTTGAATTCCTAGTCTTCCTGCACTCAAGAGGACCACAAGTTCAAGGTTAGCCTGGACTGCATGGCAAGATTTAGTGAGTGAGAGAGAGAGAGAGAGAGAGAAGGGAAGGGGGAGGGAAAGGATAAGGAGGGAGGGGAGAGAAAGGCATGCACAGTAAAGGAAGGAAGGAAACAGATACAGAAAAGGACAAAAATGTTGCAAGGTAGGTAGAGGGCTTGCCTAGTATAAAGGAGACCCTGGGTTTGGTTTGATCCTTACCACATGCATACCAAATAAATAAATAAATAAATACAATCTGTGTTCTGGAGAATTAACTTTGAAGTAGTCAGGTTTTTTCCTCTTTGGAATAAGCATGTTAATTGTATTGGTTTCCTTATAGAGAAGAATTAACTTTGATAATTTAATAATTTCCTCACTTCCTCCTTTTTCCTTTCACTCACTTCTTCATTTTTTTAAACAACAACAGACTTTATATTAGCTGTTAGGCTAATATCTTACACTGATTTTTAAAAGAATTGTCATTAAGAAAATAATCTGTTCAGCAAAAGTTGAGTGTGTATTGCCAATGTATCAGTCACTGTACCAAATATATAGGGGGATATAAAGAGACCTAGACACAGTCCCTGCCTCTGGGGCTTTGTTAGTAGATGGATCCATGGAATTCAATAAGCTCTCTGTTGGAGACAGAAATAGCGATTTATAGACGTCCAAAAGGATGCAGTCTCATTATGTGCTCAGCAGATGCCAGGGAGCACAGTCTACCACAAGAGCTCAGAGCTTACTTTATCAATGGATATTGCAGGGAAAATAATGACATTCTGGGTTTTGAGAGTTTGATATGCTATGAGTAGAGTAATGCTACTTACCTGCTTCACTGTGTTTCAGATTGACAGTTGGTGGAAAGCTCTTAAATGAGATGAGGCATAAAGATTCTGTGTATTTGGCTTAGTGTTCCTGGCACAAGCATCTACAGGTGATAACAGCCATATACCACATGAACGTCTATAGGACTAAGAGATCATTTGCTATAGAAGTGAGACTGTGGGTCATCCTGGCTGGTTTTTGTTAACTTGGTGCAAACCTAGATAGACCTGGAAAGAGGGAGTCTTCATTGATAAAATGCCTCCTTAAGATTGGTCTGTAGGCAAGCCAACTGGGTAGTTTTTGGTTAATAAGTCATGTGGCAGGGCCTAGCCTGCCGTGGACACTGTACCCCTGCTGAGCAAACCATGAGAAGTAAGCCAGTCGGCAGCTCTCCATGGCTTCTACTTAGTTTCTGGCTGCCTCCAGGTCCCTGCCCCCAGGTTCCCACCTGGACTTCTCTCATTGATGGAGCAGGAGTTAACAGTTGTAAGCTTACATAAATCCTTATATCCCCAAGTTGCCTTTAGTCATAGTGTTTTATTAAAGCAATAGAAACCCTAACTAAGACACGAGGTTCGTGTAAACCCTGGTCAAGGTGACCTATGTATAATGTAAAAGAGTCAGGACTGGAGTATATATGAAAAATAAGGTGTTCTACCAGGGCCATGCATGGCGGTACACACTTTTAGTCCTGGCATTTGAGGGACAGAGGCAGGTGGATCTCTGTGAGTTTGAGGTCAGCCTGGTCTACAAATCTAGTTTTAGGACAGCCAGGGCTACACAGGGAAACCCTTTCCTGAAAAACTAAAACAAACAAAAAAAATCCCTTTTTGGGCCAGGCAGTAGTGGCACAAGACTTTAATCCCAGCACTGGGGAGGTAGAGGCAAGAAGATCTTTGAGTTTAAAGCCAGCCTGATCTATAGAGCTAGTTCTAGGACAGACAGGGCTATGCAGAGAAACCCTATCTTGGAAAAACCAGTTTGTGGGGAGTGGGGATCATTTTTGGTTTTCGTAAGGGCAAAAAAGGTGGGTACAGACATTGTACTGTCATGACTCCTGTAAGTGCTGTCCCTTAGGTACTGTCTGTAGAATCAGACAACACTGTTTCTGTGTTAAGACCCTGACCTTGCACACAGTCAAAGAAGATGAAGATTGACATAACAGCTGAAGGTAACTAGGACAGACCTGTGGGATCCTCAGTCTGGTCTTTTTCCCATCTAAATTTGATAATTCTTAGGATTGGTGTCAGGAAAGGAAAATGTGTACTGTATTAGACAGTTCTGCTTTAACACACAATTTTTTGTCTAAGGGAAGTTTCCCCAAATACTTCAGAGAAAAAGTTAGCTTTGCTGGAATTTGATGAAAAATACAAGGCATTCCTAAGTAACTTGCATAAAACATGACTGTAGCTGGCACGTAGGTGATGTCTAAATGTCATATTCACAGAGCTGTTTACTTCTGTCTGTCCATTCCCCACTCCCCAGCACGGTTAAAACATTGCACAGCTCAGTGGCTTTGACTCATTTTTCTGTTTTATCTGCTATTGTAAACACTTGGAAGTCAAGGAATGGCAGGAGAATGAGGTAAGTGTAAGGTTCACCTAGAATATCTGAGACCCTGTCTCAAAAAAGAAAGAAAGAAAAAAGGAAGGAAGGAAAGTAAAGAACAGAGCGGCAGGTGTGCAGACCTAATTTTCAGATGGGAATGGGATCAAGGAAACTGTTGCTGAACCAACGTAGTCTGCACTAAGGATGGAAGAGGTAGGCAGTCCCTACTACCTGGGAGATTTCCAACAGGCTTTGTCAATGAAGTTTAATAAATGAAATGAAACTGGCACTTGGCCATCCCATTGGGCACCTTCCTATAGCATTATCAACATTGTGTACATTGCCTTTATTATCAGGTCACAAAAGATGTCATTAAGGAATTTGCAGATGATGGAGTCAAGTACCTGGAGCTGAGAAGCACTCCCAGAGGAGAAAATGCTACTGGTAAAATTTAATTAGTCCTGAGTGAATGTCCTGTTCTGTTTCCATGTGTCCTGATCATACAAGGTTCCTATTTGTGTCCGTTATTCAACAACAAATATCTTACAGTGTACATTAGCGATTGTACATTAGCGATGCTTCAATGGCTTCTTAAAAGTATAAGTGGAGCTGAGTTTCAAGTCCAGTACCTCACACACCATAGGCCAGTGACATACTACTGAGCCACAGCGATGTCCAACATTCATAAGTTATTCTTGAATAAGTATGAAGCCTACTTGGGAAATAGCCCCTCTTTTAATCTAATCTTCCTTGGTTTTGTTTTCTTCAACAAAAGGACATAGCATATGGGGAGATGGCTCAGTTAGTAAAGTACTTGCTTTGCAAGCATGAGGACCTGAATTCAAGACCCAGAACTCATGTAAAAAGGCAGGGCATGGTGCTCTTGCAACCTCAGCACTAGGGAAATGGAGACAGGCAAATTCCTGGGGCTTGATGGCCAGCCAGTCATCAGCTCAGCCCTCTGCCAGCGAGAGTCTGTCTCAGAAGGCAAGTTGAATGGCACCAGAGGACTATCTTAGGTTGTTATAATTGGGTTTATAAAAGGAAATATTTATCTTTATTCCTGGCTAGCTTCCGAATGGATGAGACTAAAACTATTAGATTTGTTTAATCAGTCTCAGAACAATTAATGGGCGAATTACCCCTAATCTACTTTCTATATGCCAGACTGACCAATATCCAGCTGTGCTCTCCGAGTACTTGCTGTTGAGTCTTGCCTGGGTTCTTTCTGTTCCAGCAGTCTGTCCTCAGGGGCATTTCACTCAGCCATGGACTCCTAGTCCATTGAATCTAATAGAGACCTCCTGCTCTCTCCTTCTCTCTTCTTGTCTCCTCATGGTCCCTACCTGTGACTCCCAGTCTGGTAACCAAAACCCCACCTACTTCTATTCTCCCCAGTAATTGGCTGTAGCTTCCTTTATTTAACCAGTCAGAGAATATAGGTGAGCAAAGTTTTTACAACATCATTTGGCATATGTGAGAATCTGTCATTGGGACTGTAACCAGATCTTGGGGGCCAATATTTAGTATTTGAATATATAGCAGCACCAGACCAACCCCCAACAGGTTGTCCTCTGGCCTCCACACAGATTTGCATATACACACAAACAGTCAATGAAACTGTAGCCATGTACACACATAGTCACAAAGGACATCGCCTTTCCCTTGTCTCCAGCAAAGGCTGTTCTTGTTCCTACCTTGTGAAATAATGTCATTGAGTAGCTATAATGTACTATATTATATGGGACTCACTGGAAAGTCTGATACTCAGAGACTCTTTAGAGATTGGTAATATTAGGTTAGAAGCAAGATAAACCCTCTGGGGACAGAGTTGAACTGGTTAGGGTGTGTAGGAATTTCATAGAACTTTCATGAGAACTGTATCAGGCCAGGCATAGACCTCTCACATGTAACACTCAAAACTGAGAGAATACTGAGTTTCTGCTTGGGGGCTGGGGAGCTTGTTGATTTGTTTTGTTCTGTGTTTTTCATTAGGAGATATTAAATATTATCACTGAATCTCTCTTGGCCTGAAGAGACTTAGGTTATCTTACACCATGAGGTATATAGTCAATTAAGGACTAAAATTTGAAGCTAGTCAAATAAATGTTGAAATGGAAAATACAGGTTCTAATCTCACAGTTTTAAATTGTAGAATCAGTTTCAAGTTATACAGTGTGGCATGTGCATACCCATGTATGGTAACATACACACATACAAGCACAAATAAAACTAAGAAAAAATAGTTGCAGCCAGATGTGGAGGTATACACCTCTAATCCCAGCACTTTTGAGGTAGAGGCAGGTAGATCTCTGTGAGTTCAAAGCCAGTCAGATCTACATAGGGAGTTCCAGGCCAGCCAGCTACATAGTGAAACTCTGTCTCAAAAAAAAAAAAATCTATTTACAAAGACACTTCCAGGTGGGATTACCAATGCAGTGTTAAATTAATGAACATATAAAGCTAGTAGTATTTTGTATGCTAAACATATACATGTATACACAAGAGTAAATACGGTGTAGTTACTGATCAGTAGTGGGATCCTGCTTACTGCTTTTTATTCTTTATAATGTTCTGTTATACTGAAAGTTTTCCATGAAAACAAGCATTTATGACAAGTAAAAAACAATTTTAGAAGCTGTTTTGGAACAGTCTTGCAAGGTGTCCCAGGGAGAGACTTGTATACTCAGAGACTTGGATTGACATCTCCAAGGCCCTGGGTATGAAGCTCATCCTGATCAGGGCTGAGGGAAAGAAACTTGAGATTTTTTTTTCTTTTCTCTAAACTAGAAAAAAATCCTGTTAAGTGAAAAACAATCTTTTTATTTATTTATTTGGTATTTTGAAATGGTCTTTGTAGACTAGGCTGGTCTAAAACTTAAGGTCTTCCTCCCTTAGACCCCCAGATGCCAAGAATACAGTGGTACCACCATGCTGGCAATTACTTTTTAAGTTAAAAAATTATTACTATTGTACAAGAAACATGCTATAGCACACATGTGGAAGTTAGAAGACAAAGATTAGTTTTCCTTCTTTCTTTTTTTCTTTTTCTCTTACCATCCCAAATGCTGCCTGGCTCCTCCCTCGTAGAGCTCCTCCCCCATCCTGGACCCTCCCTCACAGAGCCCCTCCCCACAGGATTAATTTTCCTTTGGGCTTGTCTTGCTTGTCATTTGGTATTTTTTTAATTTTCTGTCTTTCATTACTTTTATGTTTGCTTATGAACATTTTTTTTCCTGGTTTTTCGAGACAGGGTTTCTCTGTGTAGCCCTGGCTGTCCTGGAACTCACTCTGTAGACCAGGCTGGTCTTGAACTCAGAAATCCTCCTGCCTCTGCCTCCCAAGTGCTGGGATTGAAGGTGTGCACCACCACCGTCCGGCTGAACATTTTTTAAAAAGATTTTTATTATTTTATGTATATGAGTACACTGTAGCTTTCTTAAGACATAACAGAAGAGGACATCAGATACCTTTACAGATAGCTGTGAGCTGGGATTTGAACTCAGGACTTCTGGAAGAGCAGTCAGTGCTCTTAACTGCTGAGCTATCTGTCCAGCCCACTTATGAACACTTTTATAAAGCACTTATCCCTAAAGTTGATTTTGGTTTTTCTTCACCTTTTAAACTCTGTCCTTTCAATTTTATTGAAATAGTTATCATTAACTGCTGTGATACCATATAATGAAGAGGTAGAAGCTGGAGGATCATGAATTTGAACTCAGCCTGGGCCACATCTTTTAGGGAATAGGACTGTGACTTAGTGGTAGAGCATTTGCCTAGCAATCATGATGTCTTAGGTTCAGTTTACAGGTCCACAGACAAAGAATACTATACTAAAATGTTTCTCCTTGGAGGCCAGAGAGTTGGCTCAGGATTTAAGAACCTATCTGCTCTTGCAGAGAACCAGTTTGGCTCTCAGCACCCATATCAGGTGGCTAACCACAACGCGTAACTCTAGCTCCAGGCCTCTTCTGGCCTCTGTGGGCACTCATACACATCTGTGCATGTGCACACTCAAACAAGATAAAATATTTTACAATAAAATTTCCCTAAAGGTCATGCTCCATTCACGTTTACCCAGGCCCTAGCATGGCATACAGTGGCGTTCATTCAGTGGTGTTGTTTGAAGGATTCAATAGGTGATAATGTCTTTACATGTGTTACTCTGTTCTTTCAAGGAATGACTAGGAAGACTTACGTGGAATCTGTACTTGAAGGCATAAAACAATGCAAACAAGAAAACTTAGATATTGATGTTAGGTAAGAAGATGGTATATCAATAATAGTTACTCCTTTAAAAAACGGAATGTGATGTTTTAATGTCTTATAAAGGTTAGACGGATTTTTTTAGGATGGATTTTTTACATCAACTATTATCTGATTTTTACCTACAATACAAATAAATAGAATCAAGAACTCTATTGCTTAAGATGAGAACACAATACTGGATTTAGTCATCTGGCAGTAAAATTCTAGTATTTTTGCTCAAGTTGAGTATGATTTCTCACTGCTGTTATGCTGAAGTGGACTTTTTATAGCTACCTGCATAGTCCCACATGATCTGGCTGCCTTTCGTCAATCACTGTCTAAACCACTCCTCTTAGTCTATATTAGCTTACTCTCTTTGCTATAGGCTGACTATCCATCTCAGTGCCTTGCACTTATAGGCACTTATGCCTTCTACCATGTCCTTACATAACTATTCAGGTCTCAGTTTGGCTGTTATTTCCTCAAAGAGGCCATCTTGACCAGTCTGGCCCCCAAATCCCCTCCTCACCATGGTCCTCTATGACATTAATTTGTATTGTCATGAAGTACATCCACCCTTTGACTGGAGTGTAAGTTCAGAGACACGAGAGACCTTGTTGTTGATTCATTAGTATATCTCCAGTTCTTTGAACAAAGTCAGCCTTCTGATGATGTTTTGTCTTTTGAGACAGGGTCAAGTAACTCAGATGGGCCTGTAACTTGCTATATAGATAAGGTTGTCTTTGAACTCCGGATCCTCCTGCCTTTACAAATCCAGACTGTGAGAAGCTTTGTAGGAGAACCTTTTTTTTTTTTTTTAAACTAATTACAAGAAAAGAGTTAGGATGGAAATGAGAATGGAAGAGAACTGGCTAGATTAAAAGAGACTTAAGGGGGTGGGGAGATGGCTCAATTGATAAAAGACTTGCCTAGCAAATATGAGGACATGAGTTCAAATCCCTAGAACCCCCATGAAAAGCCAGATGCCCATGCTGGAATCCTAGAGACGGTGGGATAGGAGTTGGAGACAGGAAGATCCCTGGAAGTTCACAGGCCAGCTAGTGCGGCCTACATGAGGAAGTTCCAGGCCGATGAGACTTTTTCAGACAAAAGATCCTTGAGAATCCACCTCCAATTGTCTTCTGAGTTTCATGAGCTCAAAATGCACATCCTACCTGTACTTGCATTCCTACAAGTGAACATGTCCACATCTATACAAAAAATACACTTTAAAAAAGATATGAGATACAGTGATTAACAAAGTACTGACTTCATTTAGGTCCTGATTCAAACTCAAACAATACACACACACACACACACACCAAAGACAGGGAAAAAAGTGAGGTAATTGGAAATTTGAATACTAGACAGCAATACTACTTAGGCATTCATGTCTTGTTCTGTGTATCGGTACGGAGCCATGTTTAGACTCACTACTTTACATAGTAAGCCATAGCCAGGTAGCCGCCACTCTTTCCCTGGCAGTATTCCGAAATGTCTTTTTTATATGCATTACTAGTTTTTCAAATGTGGATTTGGGGTTGTTGCTTTGTTTTCTTTTAGACAGGTTCTAGACATGGTCTAATGTGGCCCAGGCTGGCCTCAAACTCCCCATTCTCTGGTAATTTTGTGGTTCTGAGTCGCCCTTACTCTCCAAGTAGCTTTGTGCTAAGTGACCTCAGTGAAGCAGCTGAGCAAGGAGAAGGCGTATGATTAAAGTAACTTTTCCTGGGATTAGTTGGTTTGAAATTGGTAGAGGTTTTTGTTTTAGTTTGGTTTTTCTGAGACAATTCTCTTGCATCCCTTACTGGCCTTGAACTCACATTGTAGCCAAGGGTGATCCTCCTGCATCCACCTTCCGTATCTTTTGAATATAAGCATATATGCACCTATGCCTGGCTTCATCTGTGGTTTTCTTGATCATAATATCTTCCTGCCAAGTTAGTATCAACTGTATTTTTCTTATATTAAAGGTATTTGATGGCAATTGACAGAAGAGGTGGCCCAGCAATAGCCAAGGAGACTGTTAAACTTGCTAGAGAGTTCTTCCTCTCTACTGAGGATACAGTTCTTGGCCTTGACCTCAGTGGAGATCCAACCGTAAGTTACTATATTTTCTTTCCTAATGGCAGAGTCAGACAGTGGGGCGAGGAATAGTTTGGAGCATCATAGCATGCATTGGTGTCCAGCAGACACCAAATGAAGCCCTAGGATTCTGCCCTAGACCACCAGAATACATGGCTTTTCTTAAGGGTTTTTAAAAGAAATACCATAAAAATAGATTATAGATATTATTGGATATGACCATTCTCCATTTTTCTAAAGACAGTATACAACTAGTAGCAGTCTCTGTGTGCAGAAGTTAATTGCATTATGTATGATACATAGGGAAAGGTGTTGAGAGTGTAATTATGCCACAAACCCCCTAGAAAGAAAGGTTTCGTGAGCTTCCCGAGTGAAAGACTCAAACAAAAGTCTTGATACTTGGGGCCAAATAATTTTTTGTTGTGACCTGTCTTTGATGTTTGTCTGTTTTTGTGATTTATGTATGTGTGTGTGTGTTTTTTATAATTATGAAAGCTTTCCAAACCAAGTAAGTTCTCCATAATACTAAACATCTATTTGTCTTTTAGAAATAAAAATTTTGGCCTGTCGTATCCAACTTACATACTAAACTTAGCTTACTGGTACTGCACTTAAGATTCAAGGCCAGGGATTTCCCTTCCATGGTGTGTTCCCTAAAGTGTCCAACACGTTAAAGCTCTCTATAAGGAAGAGGTTCAGCAGAAACCAGTGTGCCATCATTTTACTCCTTTATTGGGGTAGAACCCAAGATCCTTCTGTGTGCTCAGACTTCTCATGCACCCTCATTTTATCTTCAAGATAGGACAAGCAAAAGACTTCTTGGAACCTCTTTTAGAAGCTAAAAAGGCAGGTCTGAAGTTGGCATTGCATCTTGCAGAGGTAAATACTGTTATAGAGTGGAAAGGGCAGATTATAATTTTAAAAGTAGAGCTGTTTGTAAGTAACTAGAAATAAGCTTATCTTGGGGAAAACTTTTTTTTTCCTTTTCTTTTTATGAGGTATGGTCTCATGTAACCCAGACTGGCCTGGAATTCACTTTGTAGCCAAGATTCACCTTGAACTTCTGATCCTTCTGCCTCCACCTCCCAAGTGCAAGGGTTTCTGGCATGTGTCACAATGCTATTTAGAGGACATCTTTAAAAGGGGGAGTAAGAAGTATTTTTAAATGTTAATTAAAACATTAAGGCCTGATTTGCTTTCATGTTACTGTTTCTAAGTTTTTACGGTTCCCATTATTTTGTAACCAGTTATCTCTGGCCTGTTCTTAGGATCAGAACCTGCTTGGTATCTTAGTTTCTTATTTGCTACATTGAGTATAAAATAGTTCATTTAAAAATGTTCTGGCCAGCTGAACAGTGGTGGCCTTTTATCTCTGCACTTTAATCTCAGTAGGCAGAGGCAGGCGTATCTCTGAGTTTAAGGCCAGCCTAATCTACAAAGTAAGTTCCAGGGTTCCTGTAGCACCCTGTCTTTAACCCTTCCTGACCACCACCACCCCCCGAAAAAGAAAAAAAAAATGTTCTTGTCATGTGCCTTCTAGTCCATCTAAGAGAAAATGAGCATAGCTGTCCGTTTCCTGATTGTAGTATGACCATGGATAACCTTGCCAGTATACAGCATGAGCGCACTGGGAGAAGCATGAGGCTGTGGAGTCTCACGAAGTTAGACTTGCACCCTTAGCTCCACCATCCCAGACTGTGAATCAGGGTGTTTTCTTTTTTGTTTTGTTTTTTGTTTTTTGTTTTTTTGAGACAGCGTTTCTCTGTGTAGCTCTGGCTGTCCTGGAACTCACTCTGTAGACCAGGCTAGCCTCGAACTCTCGAACTCAGAAATCCGCCTGCCTCTGCCTCCCAAGTGCTGGGATTAAAGGCGTGTGCCACCACCGCCCAGCGAATCAGGGTGTTTTCAAAAACACTTTTTTGACTAAAAGTTTTATGTGCCTGAAGAAACTTCAAGTATAAGGAATTACAGCACCAAAGGAAAAGGATGTAAAATCCTCCCAAGAGATGACATTAAATTTAATGTATGTAATTCTCTCCTTTTTTCCTAATATATGTGAATACATGTACACACATATATACATATAGAATTAGGGTCTCTATTTTGTGTGTGGAAATTCATTTTTCTTAGCTTTTATTTCTTTATGTTCACACTTCATAAGATTATTATTATGTTGTAAATGACTGGTACACCTAGGAAGATTTAAGAAGGTTTAAGTAATTATGTTTTCTAAGAATGTTAGCATTCACTACTCAGAGGGGAGAATAAAATACCTTGGTTACCAGTAGAGGTCACTGATCCCCTCTTCTCATTTTTCTGAAGATTCCAAATAAGGAAAAAGAAACACAGATGCTACTGGATCTGCTTCCTGACAGAATTGGGCACGGAACATTCCTCAGTGCTTCCGAGGCAGGGTCCCTGGATCAGGTGAACTTTGTGAGGCAACACCAGATACCTCTCGGTAAGACTTAGAATGTTATGTTGCCTAGACAACACTTTAGCCTTTCTTTCTCCAGGCCCTGGATTGCAAGATTTATATGAAAAAATACTAATCTATAATTCAGATATTTACAAAGTAAAATATATGGTGTGTGTGCTTTCTGGGTCTCATTTAAGTGGTGGATCTTTTAGATTCTATTAGAAAGTAAGTTTTAGGAGGGCAGATCTCTGTCTCTATCTTTCTCTCTCTCTCTATGTCTCTCTCCCTCTGTTTCCTTGCTCTTCTCCCTCTCCTTCTCTTTTTCTCCCTTTCCCTTTTTCTGTCTCTGTCTTTGTCTCTGTGTTCATCTTACTGACTGCTCCAGTCCCTAGTGTTGGGAACTCAGTTTTCTGTTGTTTTGTTGTTGGTTTGTTTATTTAAGAAATAAAGGTTAGCTGGAGAGATGGCTCAGTGTTTTAACAGAGTTCTGTTCCCAGCAGCCATGTCAGGCAGCTTACAACCACCTGCAACTCCAGCTCCAGGGGATCTGGCACCCTCTTCTGAGCTCTTCAAGGGCTTGCACTCATGTGCATATACTCATACACAGAAAATTTTAAAAATAAAGGTCATTTAGAATTTTGAAGATGACTATAATAAAATTAACACATAGGTCCAGTGAGATGGTTCACAAGTATCCTGCCAACCGTGATGACCTGAGTTCTATCTGGAGACTCACTCCTCTCATTCATTCATATTTTCTCTCTCTCCCTCTCTCCCTCTCTCCCTCTCTCCCTCTCTCCCTTTATCCCTCTCTCCCTATCTCTAAATAAACACAAAAAATATAAAATTAGTGTTATGGAAATGTATAACATTTACTTAAGAATTACAACCAGGCATAGTGGCACAGGCCTATAATCCTACCATGTAGGAGGCTGAGGCGGGAGGATTACTAGTGAAAATATCCTAGATTAATTAGGGAAATGTCTCAAAAACTAGGGAAATTGGTGTGAAGACGTGGCTTAGTGGTTAAGAGCAATGGTGCTCTTCCAGAGGCCCCAGGTTCAATATCCAGAACCCACATGAGAGCACACAACTCTCTGTAACCTCAGGCGATCAACGCTATCTTCTGGCTTCCCTCCTCAGGTCCCAGGCATACGAGTGACACATAGACATACACAGGCAAATCATCTGACATAGAAAATAAAATTTAAAAACTTGCTAAGAAATTAGGAAAATGGGCCAGGCAGTGGTGGCACACGCCTTTGATCCCAGCACTTGGGAGGCAGAGGCAGGCGGATTTCTGAGTTCGAGAGTTCGAGGCTAGCCTGGTCTACAAAGTGAGTTCCAGGACAGCCAGGGCTACACAGAGAAACCCTGTCTCCAAAAACCAAAAAAAAAAAAAAGAAATTAGGAAAATGGTAAATCTATTTTTCCATACTGACCAACCATTGCACACTTGCTTGTGAATGTTTATGAGGTTATAACTTTGTTGCAGTCACTACACCATTTGCTGAGAATAAAACAGTAAACAAAGTAGACAGTTTCCTTTGTAAGAACTCATCAGGAGACAAAAACTGTATCTCAAAAAAAGTCAGTGTTAGGCCAGGCATGATAGCACACCTTTAATCCCAGCACTGCAAGGCAGGCAGAGCTCTGTGAGTTCAAGGCCAGTCTGGTCTACATCATAAGTTCCAGGCCAGCCAGGGATATATAACGAGACCTTTTTTTTTTTTAAAAAAAAAAAAAAAAAAAAAACAACAACAAACCAAAAACAATGGATGTGAAGCCCTATGAAGGATTGTTGACAGGCTGATTATATTTCAGGCCTATAATCTTTCTCTCCATCTTGGTAAAGCAAGGGAAGCAAATCACTGTGAAGAAAGCATTAACTCCTTGTTGGGTATAGTGGCGGTCATAGCAATAATAAATACCTCTGTACAAGTGCATTAGCTGAAGTACACTTTGTGTATTTCTATGTAGTGTTGGAAGCAAATGCAGAGCTTTGTAGGGTAGGCCCTCTTCTGCTAAGGTACATCCCAACTCAGAGCTACAACTTCACATCACAAATAATGAACAATACATTTTGTGAAGTAATGAAACTGCTTAAATCAGCAGAGGTTGGAAGGTTTCTTGTGAATCTGCATGGTGGTCACTGACTGAGTTCACTTACTTGCTTTTTTTTTTTTTTCTTTTTTTTCAACTTACTTGCTTTTAATAAAAGGATTTTCCCCCTTTCTTCTAGAACTTTGTTTGACCTCAAACATCAAAAGCCAGACAGTTCCTTCTTATGACCAGCATCACTTTGGATTCTGGTACAGCGTTGCTCATCCTTCTGTGATCTGTGTAAGAAGTATTATAGTTCTGCTTCTTTAACTTGCTACATTGAATTAAGTCATATATTTAGTATCTTGCTGGTTGCCTTCCCTGAGTACCTGCAGGAAATGTCCCAGTAGCAGAGCTAGAGGGGATGGAGGAGGAGAGGCTGCAGAGGGCTCAGCTGATTCCCATTTGGTTCTGAGAAGCAGTAGGGCAATATTTGGGGAAGCTTTAAAAAAATGCTGGTGCCCAGGACCCATGCCACAGGATTCTCGATTTATTTGATCTTGGATGAGTCTTGGGCATGAATATGCTTTTAAAACTCTTTATGTGCTTTTAACATGCAGCCAGGGTTGAAGCACTCTGGTCTTTTTTTTTTTTCTTTTAATATAAACAAGTTTTTTACAGATGTGCACTTATAAGTTCTTGTTTAGACTCCTGAAATGGGAAAATAAGATTCTGAACCACAAAAAAGTTAATTTTTACAAAGCATCTTATTTTGAACTGTTTTTGTTTACACGGCAGACCGATGATAAAGGTGTTTTTGCGACATACCTTTCTCAAGAATATCAACTGGCAGCAGAAACATTTAATTTGACCCCATCTCAGGTGTGGGATCTGTCTTATGACTCCATCAACTGCATCTTTGCCTCTGACAATACCAGATCTGAACTGAAAAAAAAGTGGACTCACCTGAAGCAGAAAGTGTTAAATTGTAATGAGGTGAACTAGTTCTGATTATATGTTGTAATCAACATCTTCCTGCCCTTGTATCCCACTCAGTTACTGCCCACTCGAAATAACTTCCCTTGAAGTTTGGTAGCCAAGTATATATGGGGGCTAACTCCAGCACCTTCACATGGTAAGTGTTCAGTAAATCTCAGACTAGGAGCCTTGAGGTCTTGCATGGCTGTGCCTCCATGCTGCTTGCTGAAGGGTTGTTAAACCCTCATTTCCTAGTTGAAAGAGGAATTGTAAGTTAGTTAAATAGTTTAACAGGAATACAAATAGTTAAAAACTACAGGTCAGCTAGCTTGCTAACCCAAGGCTGTTACAGGGAATGCAGAACAGAGAAACAAAGGTCAATTGAGTGTTCCGAGAATCTGTTCCTGTAGTGCCTGACTTAGCCTCATCTGGAGAAACTCCTACCAGAGGTCCCAAGGACTTTCGAATTAAATTCAGCCAGATGGTCTGTTGGCTCAGATAAGCATTCACACTGAGTCCCAAGGCCACAGGGACCAGAGACTATTCTCGTGAGATTTGTCAAACCTCTGCTTGGGATATGCTTACACACATTGCAGACAATTGAAATAACCAATTGTGTGTGATTACCCACAACCCTCTCCTTCCCCCCAGACTTTGCCTTTAAAAACCCTAAGCCATTAGGTCTCAGGGTCGATAACCCCTACCTCCTGCGTGAGGCATGTGTCGACCCAAAGCTTCCACAAATAAAGACCTGACTAATGTTATTACAGCAAGAGGTCTCTAGAGTGTCTTTGGGGGTCACGTCCTTCCTGGGTCCCCCCTTGGAGGGGTCTTTCACTAGTGACTCTGTTTTTTCACTTAGAGCTCTTTTGACATTGGTTATCGTAAACCTTCTGAGAAGTTGAAACTCTTTGTCTTCAGGGAAATCTCGGTTTAATCAGATTCCTTCCACTTCTTTTTACTCTTCCAAGTATTATTTTTTAAGACTGTTGATGTTAGGCCACAGTGCACACCTTTATCGTAAGTATGGGTGCCTGGTTGTTAGGTGACTAGTACAAAGCTAGAATCTGACTTTGCCCTTCTCATAATATCTTTAGAACTATATAAAGGGGGTTGGAGTTTAAGAAACTTAAGAAACACTTCAGTTTAAGAAAAGAAAAGAAAAAAAAAAAAACGACTGGCTTGAAGTAAGACACATAGCCTGAGCTTTTGGTTTAAAATCAGCTTCTATTTGGCTTCTTTTGTGGAAGCTACCAGGACCTCTAGAGTGCTAGGACTCCCTTAAAAGATCTTTGTAGTAATGGTAGCACTGTGGCTTCTAGGGTTCTTAGATCACCAGTAATCCCATGCCCACATAATGGCCTACAGGGAGACTTACATAAACACACATTAGCCAAAGATAGGGGACATCTAAGATTGATTCTGAATGCAAAGAAAAAGACTTTAACAGATAAAAAAAAAATCTTTTGGTTAGTTTTTTTTTTTCCCAAGCTAGAGTCATTTGGGAAGAGGGACCCTCAACTGAGAAAATGCTCCCACAAGATTAGCCTAATCAGTGCTTGATCAGTTTGTGGGCCCATGCCACTGAAGGTGATGCCACCCATAGGGATATGGTTCTGGGTGGAAAGTGAAGGAAATGGAACAAGGCATGAGGAGCAAGCCATAGGCAGCTCTCCTCTATGGCTTCAGCTTACGTTCCTGCCTCAGCTTCCCAAGATGATGGACTACAAATTGTAAGAGGAAATAAACCCTTTCCTCCTTAAGTTACTTTTGGTTATGTTGTTTTATCACAGCATTGAAAACACTAAAACAATAAAGTATACTTGAATTGCTCTCCTTATAATGGTTTCCCTGATCTCAGAGAAGAAACCTGATGGCACCCTTAATTCAATTATTAAGATTGAGATTTTTGTGTCTGCCTTTTAGGGTACATGATAAAAGAAAGTATTTAAACTTTCAAAGTTCTTAGATATTGCTTTATAACCTTATATTTCTAACTATATCCACTTACACAAATAAAATCTATAAAATGTAATCTTTTTTCTTTACTGTGCTGGGGAATTGAATCCAGGGCCTTGCACATGCTGGGCAAGCACACTACCACAGAGATACATCTTCACCCTCAATGTATGCATTTTATAGCCTTTCAAAGTGTTATAGAATAAAAGTTGACAGAAAATTAGGATGTATAACCTATTTGGTGAGAAAATATGGAAAAGTAGTAACAGTGCTAAGGAAACATGATGGGAGCAGATGACAGTATTGTTTCTACTAATACACATTTCTGTGCACGCCTCTTCCTCAAAGGCTGTAGTGTAGACACGAAACGGTTAGAGCCTGCTCCTCTTGCTCCCTCTTAGTGCTTTCTCTTAGGCTTTACTTTTGCTTCTGTCCATCCTCAGCATTGGCAGTATTTGTTTGTGAGGTAGTTTGAGATAAACTGGTTCTTCCTCTAGTAATGAGAGTATAATTTAAAACCTTGCCCAGTTAACTTGATATGATTTTAATTTGTTCCTTTGCCTACAGTATAAAGGTTCAGACAGGTAACTTAAAAGAACAAGAAGAAAAATGTCAGAGAATTTATTCTCCTGCCATCCACAACTTGATCATAAGAACTTATGACCAAGCTAATAATTTTATATAATTTGCATATATAAAATTTGCACTGAAACATCTGAAGAAAAACAGAGCACATTATGGACATAACATTTATTAACATGATATCCCTGAGAGGCAGACTAGGTATAAACATTATTCTTCTTTACAGGAAGAGAAACAGAAGCTGTTTAAGATACAAGACATTTGGAACCATCTGTCTGCTAATACCCTTATGGCTTTTCCACAATACTATACATAGACAGATTAATACTAAAGATAATCTCATTTTCCTTGACATTGCAGCTCACTTCCAAAGCCATCTCAGATCCTGAGACCCTGCTTTAGACGGGGATTTCTTATACCTTCTTGCTTGCTTAGGCAGCATAATTGAGATACCATTTTCCCTTAATTGCTAATGTTAGTTCTTTGTTTACAGTTCCTCAGTACCAGAACCCTAATTATTCATCTTAATAAATTTTAAGATAGTCTTTCTCCTCACTATTATCTCAGATCTTAATATAGTCATGGATATCTAATAAATGTGAAAATCAGTTATTCAAGGTCTTGGCCATCTGGCCATGGTCATCTTTTCTCTGACCTACTCATCAAAGTATCTTCAATAGACAGTAATTTCTGCCGTTTATCTCCCTAAGGAGCTTAGTCTCCTAAACTCATTTTTCCTAGAGCCATGGTGCTTCCTCTCATCAGTATTCACAGCACAGTACAACTCAGGGTCTCCCTCTAGCATTTCCAGTCTCTGCTCATTGATTCTTTTTTGTTTTGTTTTGTTTTGTTTTTGTTTTTGTTTTTTGTTTTTTTGTTTTTCGAGACAGGGTTTCTCTGTATAGCCCTGGCTATCCTGGAACTCACTCTGTAGACCAGGCTGGCCTCGAACTCAGAAATCCACCTGCCTCTGCCTCCCAAGTGCTGGGATCAAAGGCGTGTGCCACCACTGCCCGGCTGCTAATTGATTCTTTGCTAACTGTGTGGCTATATTATGCATTCATAAGGTTCTTCCTGCTTCAAGCTTTAATGAGCTTTATATCTTTTCATCTTTTGCTTTGCTGTTTTCCCATTTCTCACCCACCTAGCATCAGTTTTATAACTAGTTTTGGAAAGTCTGCCCCACTCTGATTTACCCAGTTACTTTCCTTCCTTTGAATGCTTACTGTTTCCTGAAAAAAAAAATACTTTCCAGATTTTTCTCAGAGCAAGTTATGTTGAAATGTGTGTCTTGTGTAGTAACACTACTAAGCGTACTAAATCCTTTAAAACAGCTGCCACCTTACCTGGTGATGTGCACCTTTACTACTAGCATTTTGAAAACTGAGGCAGTCGGATCTCTATGAGATAAAGGGCTGTGTAATCTCCATAGTAAGCTACAGGTCACCAGGGCTACATAGTGAGAAATGTAAAAAAAAAGTAATGTTGCAACTATGTATTTGTGCCTATATGTCTATGTATTAACCGTTTTCACTTGTACTGTCCAGGGCTTTATTGGACATCTATGAATATGTGGGAATTAATGCAATACCACTTGATTGTGAAAATCTGTAATTACTTTTGTGCTTAAATAGATACTTTTATTTATATACACTTGAGTGTGTGTGTGTATGTGTGTGTGTGTGTGTGTGTGTAGACTGGTAGCTCCACCACTTTCCTTGTTGTTTAGGGTAAAATGTGTTTTACCTATACTTGGGGAAATGGCAGTGGTTCTGCTTCTTGCAACTAGTATTGAGCACCAATAGGCTGCATGGCTCTATACTAGGTGTGTGGAGTGTAGGAGAAACAGATGACTCCCGCTAGCAGCTTTAACTGCTTTTTCTATCACCACATCTCTAGTTTGCTCTTTTGACTGCTAGTCCACAAGGGACAGATGAAATTTAGATGGAGAGGAGGAGGAGGCAAGGAAGGAAAAGAAAGGAAAAAAAATCAAGATGCTATAAATGCAGTATATTCTATTGTAGAATACACTTCCAGAGTCCTTGTAGAATCTGGAAGAAACTAAGAAATTCAGTGTTTATAGAAAACTTATATTGTTTCACTATCTGCCCCCATCCCCCACATGTGCGAGTTCGTGTGTGTGTGTGTGTGTGTGTGTGTGTGTGTGTGTGTGTGTGGTTTGAACTCAGGGCCCTGTGCATACTAGGCAAGTGCTTTACCACTGAGCTATCTCCCCAGCTCCAGTTTCTTGGGAAAAGATAGAATCGAGATGGACTTTAAACTCTAAAGATAAATGAAGAGTATACACAGGTTTAAATGAGCAAAATGGCCCAAGTCTCACAGCTTCTTGAAAAACTGCTGAAATGGGTTTTCCAGTTGACATGCACTAAATGACAGTGTGAGTGAAGGATATAGGTGAGATCCACAGCATATACTACCATATCCTCTCAGGGAACAACACAAGCACTGAGAGGGAAGAGGTAGTACCATCAGTTCAGACCAAACTCTGCTTTTTAATCTTGAAGGCACTAGCATTGGCCTCATCTAGATCTGGGAAACATAAAGAAATAAAGTGGCAAAAATCCTGAGGAGTGCTTCTAGGCCATCTGGGTACAAAACAGGAAAGGACTTTGCAAGTGATACACTTACTGAGGCCTTTCCTCGGGAGCTTACTTAAGCACTGACTATGACAGCAGCTTTTCTGTTGTATGAATCTCTCGGTGTTTATTAAGGGCAGAGCTCTTACTGAAGCACTTGCCATAGTCATGGCACCCATAAGGTTTCTCTCCTGTGTGGGTTCTGTGATGTGCACGTAAGTCAGAATTCTTGCTAAAACTCTTACCACAGTCAGTACATTCATGGGGTCTCTCTCCTGTGTGTACCCTCCTGCGTGCACTGAAATGAGAACTGTTAGTGAAGCCTTTCCCACACTCTTCACACTGATAAGGCTTTTCTCCTGTGTGGGTTCTCTGCTTGAGCTCTGATTGAATCATTTTCCATATTCACCACACTGATAAGGTTTCTCTCCTGTGTGGATTCTCCAATGGGTAATAAAATTGGAACTGTTACGGAAGCCTTTCCCACAGTCAAGACACTTACACGGTTTTTCTCCAGTGTGGATTCTTCGGTGTCTAATGAGGCGTGCACTCCGACTGAAGCCTTTCCCACAGTCAGTACATTTATATGGGTTCTCTACCTCATGGGAGTCCTGATGCACAAGATGGGAGTTTGAGCCAAAGCTTTTGCCTTTGCTGAGATATTTATAAGGTCTGTCTTCCAAGCCTGGCCTCTGATAAGTCAGGACTTTACCTATACTCTTCTCTGGGAATGCCAATTGTCTTTTTTTTTCTTTTTGAGTCTTTCCCCACTGGCTTTCTGATGAAAATTCATTCTTACTAGCTTTACTCTGATTAACATGATGGGGAATTTTCCTTTCAGACCTTGCAAGTAATGTCCTATGAAGCTGCACTTCCTCAGAAATATCCCGTTTTGAATTCTCTTCATTATCAAATCCAGCCTCAAAACCTAATACAAGAACATAATTTGAAAAGTTACTCATTTCCTTAATCATATGTACCACAACAAAGCAAAGTACTGCAAGAAACAAGTATTACCTTAAAGGATTACAGATAAATGGTCAGTGAGTGCCACATTTTGAATTCATAAAGTATGTTGGGGGTGGGGTGTGAAAGGATTTATCAGGTAAAGGTGCTGGTTCCTCAGTCTGATGACATGAGTTCAATTCCTGGAACCCACACAGGGGAATGAGAAAACCAGTTCCATGAATTGACCTCCAAACATGTGCCATGGCATATGTGCCCCATAAATAAAAACATGAGAGGTGCTAGAGAAATGGCTCAGAGGTCAAGGACATACTGCTTTTGCAGAGGACCTGAGTTCAGTTTCCAGCACCAATATGGGCTCACAACCATCTGTAACTCCAGCTCCAATGACTCCAACTCTGACATCTCTGGCTTTCTTGGACACCTGTAGTCACATGCACATAGTCCACACATGCACAGACATAATTTTTTTAAGTATTTAGAAAATTTTTTAAACTGGGTGGCATACACCTTTAATCCTAGCACTTGGGGAAAAGAGGCAGGCAGAATGATCTCGATGAATTTGAAGCCAGCCTGGTCTACAAAGCAAGTTCCAAGCCAGCCAGGACTGCATAATGAGAGCCCCTGTCTCTAATAATAATAAAACAAAATAGAAAAGCTCTTGTCCCCAAATTACTATTATATTAAAATTATTAAAATTCTAGTGTTTTTCTTCCCTATGTTATACTATCACAAACCTTTTGTCTACATAGTCTATAATAGAAGCTGGTTAATGTTCAACCCTTTCTGAATACCCAGTATCTGCAGAAAAACTCAGAGCAGTAAGAAGTCACCAGGCTTTTAAAGAAGACGATTTCTAGGTTTACAGAAAGATACTTTCCACATTATCATTCTACCACCTCTGGGGCTTACTGTGGTCTTGTCCTCTGCCAGTGATTAAAGGGATTAGAAGGAAACACTCAGGAACATTTCCTGGAATTTTTTTATATCTAGAAGCAGTTTTTGATAAGTCCCCTCCCCCTCACACTCCAATGTATGTTAGAGGTGGGGAAAAACAGGGAAGAAAAAAAATACTTAGCATCTGTTAAAGAACAAAGGACCTCAAAAGAGAAGCATCTCTAGAAATTCTCCAAAACCTAAATGTTGCAAAAAACACTGTAATTTAGCCCAATTAAGAAACATTTTTAACATTCAAAAAAGCAAATGCCAGCCTTTTATCCTAAACTATGAAAATTTACACTCATTTACGTGTTTCAGGTTAACTTTTGCTCCTGAATTCCTAGGGCTAAATCTATGAGCAAAAGAATACTGAGTGTCAGCCTGTGTTTGTATTTCCTAGAAGCTTAACACTAAGGTGGGCCATAAAATAGAGATTTGCTGAATTGACTGAGATCTTAGAATCTTTAGTATGTTTAGAATCTTTAATATGTGAAAGTGTATTATGCACCTCCAAGAGGATTATTTAACATTTCCCAAACCCAGAAGTCAACATTTTTAGTAAAATACTAACATTCAATGCAACATCAGAATGCTGATTTAAAGACTTATGAAAGTGGTAACTATTATTTATTGAATACCTACTATGTGCCTAGCACTGTGGCGGATACTTCACACAGTACCTCAGTAACCCAGTTATGACCTTGTAATGTAGTTTTTGTTTTATTTACAATGTGAATCTAGAGGCTGGGGCATGTTGAACAAGCAAACACACTCTACCTCTAAACTATACCTCCAGGTCAAGGTCTTAATGCTTAGCAAATATAGGGGTTAAGATACTTGCAGTAGGGGCTGGAGAGATGTCTCAGCGTTTAAGAGCACTGACTGTTCTTCCAGAGGTCCTGAGTTCAATTCCCAGCAACCTCATGGTGGATCACAACCATCTGTAATGGGATCTGATGCCCTTTTCTGAAGACAGCTATAGCATACTCAAATAAATAAAGTTACTTGCACTAAAACACCTCAGCAGCACATGAAAATAACAGTAAATCTACAAAGTTTGCAGCTATCTCAAGTGATGCTGTAGTGTGATGAAGGAAGCCACATTAATAATTTGCATCTTCTCACTGAGCTGTTTTAATAGATAGCAAACATAGGAAGAAAGATAAGAACTTGGGAGAGCTCGGTATAATAGTGGCCAGCTCTCAATCTCAATGTTTTTCTCCTAAATTCTCTAGCATCTCTTTTGCTATTTATACTATGAGAACTGAAAGACTCTTAGTTGAACATGGAGCCACACACCTGTAATACCACCATTTAGGAAGTAGAGACAGAAGAATCAGGAGTTTAAGGACATCCTTGGGTATGCAGTGAGTTCAAGGCTTAAAAAAAAAAAAAAGCAAACAAAGCCTCTGTCTCAGAAAGTATAAATAAAGAACCTTACCACTGGGCTCTGGAATAAGACTGGGGCATGGGTTATAACTAGGGCATGGGTTATAACAGCCCCTGGAGGTATCTCAGTATCATCGTCATCATCTGAATCTTCTACTGTGTCCTCATCTTGCTTCTCAGGTTCAGCCTCACTGGTTCTCTGGAGGCAGCAAGAAGCTGTTTCTTTTTCCTGGTCATTAATAGGTGGGGCAGCAACTTGGGCACTCACCAAAGCATCCATTTCTTCAAAGAAGGGGCAGGTTTCTGGTGCTTGACCATTCTTGACTTTCCAATAGCTGGTTTTTAGGCTTTTAAATTTGGTACGACATTGCTCTGGAGTTCTAATGAAGCCATATTCCCGCAATCTCTCAGCAACTGTTCCATATAACTAGCTGTTGCAGTGACAGTTCTGGAGGGCTTCATAGAACTGAGTCTCACTAAGAATTGCAAGGTAAGTCTTGGTTTCTTCATAGCCCCAGTGTACACCTGCACAGAAGAGAGAGTTCAGCATCACCTAACCCAGAGCTTTAGAGCCTCAACTCTTCAGTCTTACTGCCAGCTTCTAGGAAAACTAGTTAAGCTGGAGACACTAGTTCAGAGTGTACTGTAAACATACAAGAGGCCTGGGGACCAATTTATAAGCAAAGGAGAGACAGAGGTAGGCCATCCAAGCTCAGGTTCCTAGGTGTATCCCCAAACCTATACATGAATTATAGTTTTGTTTCTGCATCCTTTAGTGAATTCAGTGATTTTAATGATCATTGGAACAGTCATTATGCCCTGTGATGGTTAATCTTCATTATCAACTTGAATAGATATACTCTAGGCATGTCTGTGAGGGTGTTTCCAGAAAAGTTTCACTAAGGGAAGACTGTGTGACACCATCTCATGGGCTAGGGTACCAGACTGAATTAAAAGGTAGAATAAGAAGCAAGCTGAGCAGCAGCATGCATCACTTCCTCTGCTTCCTGACTACAGATGCAGCAGCATAACCAGCTACTTCCAGCTCCTACTGCCACACTGAGAGCAGCTCTCAACACTGTGTCTTTCCCAGCAGAATGCACACACTCGGACTGTGAGCCAGAATAAACCTTCCTTAAGTTATCCTCATCGGGCATTGTCACAACAAGAAAAACAACTAGTGTAGATACACAGGTACATGCGCACAGTGCAGACCCCGTCCCGTTTACTAATTCTCTAGAATTCTGATCCCAACTAGAAAAGTCACTTGTTAGGGAAAAAAAAAAAGACCCACAGCTTCTGTCAGCCACAATGTGTCATCCCTTACTTCTCTGTTCCCTATAGAATGATTCAGTATTGGAAAATGAAAGTGTAAACTCCAATGGGATGCTCCATGACTTCAGAACCAACAGTCAAACCAGTTCTGGTTAGTTTGAGTGGGATATTGTTATTATTTTGTTTTTAATTTATAAGTTTTTAAGTAAAATTCATAAAATTGTAAATAATTTTAAAAAATAATAACTTAAAATTCTAAGGAACTGCCTCTTTCAGAATCACACTGCTGCCAAATTCCCATCATGGCTTGCCTTCATCTGTTACTATCTCCATTAAACAACCCCAGCAAGAGCAAAGGCCTGCAGGTCTTACAGTCATGTACTTGACCTGCAGGATGGAGGACTGCAGAAACCAGAATGAGGAAAGAAGCAACAATAGTGTATTTTCAACCTGACACATGCTCACTGCAGGTCTCACTTTAGTGCTTTTAGCAAAGGAACAGAGGATGGTTATATCCTCTACTGCCTGAAGGTACTCAGGGAAAGAGAGGGAAGGTTCAGACAGTTCCCATCTAAGAACATCTCTTTTCATTATTTTCTACTTACTGGGAGGAAAGGAAAACAGGGAAGAACCAAAAGACCAGAGGAAAACTAGAAAGGCAGGAAAAGATGAAAACAAAGATAATGAAAAAACATTTTGTTTCAGCCATGATTTATTTATTTTAAGAATCGGGGGATGAAGTTTTTTATTTTATTTCCTAAATAGGAAAATGGATTTTAATTTAAAACATTATCCCTCCGAAGACACTTTATTTAGATATATTTCTTTGAAAAATTAAATCTGAAATTTGAGATGTAGCTCAACGGTGTTGTGTTTGCCTAACATTGTGTAAGGCTCCAAGTTTGATTCCAAGCACTAAAAAGAGAAAAAACAATCTATTCTCTTACTATTATCTCATGATTTGTTCACAGAAGAAAATACAATACAGAGTTGTATTCTGTATTGTTTCCTATTAAAATGGCCAAGCTGGCAAGTGACAATGGCAGGTTCGACATCCAGTTTCATTGCTCCTCAAACCTAATCCCAAAGCCCAAGAAAAGCTTCTTACCACTTGGGCTTTGGGAACAGGACAGATGCAGGTGGGTTGTCAGGGTCCTGGGGGGTTATCTCCAGGTCATCACTGTCCAACCTTTCAGCTATAACCTCTTCTCCATCTTTATGTTGCCAGTCTCTCTGTCCTGGTTCCTCAGTCTCAGCATCACTGCCAGCCTGGCCAGAATAGGAGGCTGCCTCTTCCAGGCCATTAATGGGCAATGAAATGACCTGGGCACTCATCAGGGCTTCCATCTCTTCAAAGAAGTGGCAGGTATCGGGTGGATGACCACTCTTGACCTTCCTGTAGCTCTTCTGAAGGCCTTTGAACTTGATTCGACACTGTTCCAGGGTCCGGAGGAAATCATACTCATGCAGCCTCTCAGCTACAGCCCCATACACTTGGCTGTTCCTGTGGCAGTTTTGGAGGGCTTCATAAAATTCAGTCTGACTGAGAATTGCTAGGAGTGTTCTAGTCTCTTTATAGCCCCAGTGCACAGCTACCATCTTCTTGTCATCAAAGACCCAGTAATCCTGTTCCATCCAGCCAATTCTCTCTCTTGGATGGTAATAGACTGGCTCCCGTGCTGTTGCCTTTTGGGACATCCTTCTCCTTGGAGCTAAGCAGATAAGAGATCAATGGCTCTCCTTGATCCAACCTGGACACCACATTGGGTTTAGGAAATAGAAATCCTGTTTTCAGGGAAGCAAACCAAAGTATCACACAGTTTGGCCTGATTGTACAAACAACAAAAAGTCTTTCCTCTTTCAGTCAAGAGATTTTATCTTCTTTGTTTGAAATAGGGTCTCATCTAGCCCATACTAGTCTGAATGAGGCTGCATAGTGGAGGATGACCTTGTGCTTCTGATCGTCCTGACTCCACCTAAATGTTGGGATTACAAGTATGCAGCACCTGGCAGAGTTTCATCCTGTGCCGGGGACCAAATGAGACCTGGTGTACAGGGCATTCTACAAACCGAGCTACATTCACAGCCTCTATCCAAAAGATTATACAGGAGAAGGGCAGTGGTGACACACCTTTAATGCCCCCAGCACTCAGGGGGCAGAGGCAGGTGGATCTCTGAGTTCTAGGCCAGTCTGGCCTAGAGTGAGTTCCAGGGCAGTGAGGATTACAGAGAGAAACCCTGTCTTAAAAAACAGAATTATAAAGGAAATGTTTTCAGAAAGTTCAATGGGTTGAAGAATAGAAAATACAGGAAACCTCACAGGATGAGAAAGAACTTAATTTTGTCTTCTAAAGCAGAACAAGAGAAGAAAGTGTTCTGTGGTGTGTTTCGAGCAGGTATCTCCATCCCAGGGTGCTCCCTAAGCCTCTACACTACTTGTTGTAGAGGTTTCACTTCTCAGTCAGTCACTCCTGTCTCCTCTACTTGTTTTGTTTGACTTCAGACCTGAGAATTAAATTCAGTGATTTCAAGAGGTTGGGAGGGGGAAGTCCTTTACACTCAGTCATCATGTTCCTCCTTTCCATTCATGTGCTGACTCTTTATCTTCCCGTAACCAGTACTCAACAGTCCTGTGCTAACTGCTCCTCAGCTCACATGCTAGCCTGCTGAACTCTAACCTTAGTGACTAGTTCTGTCCATTCCTGTTCTCTCAACAACACTGTACACTTTTATTCACCTCTGTGCCTCCCTCCTGTTGGCACCCACCCATCCTTTGGGAAGCATCTTTACCAAAATGCCCTCAGGAGCTGTTCCCTAGAACCCCATCTCATGGCCATACTACCAAACCCCTACAGGACAACCGAGCAAGTCCTTAACACTTTTTCTAGACAGTTCAGTACATGTTCATAATTCTCTGTGTGCTCTTAAATTATTGTAAGTAAGCTCTCTGATAACAGGTACTTTAACAAAGCTTTCATTGTGTATGCATGATGTATATGGGGCTACAGTGCATTTGGAGGTTGAGGACAACTTCATGGTGGCTTCTACTACGGTCATCAGGCTTGTGTAAAAAATACCATTATCAGCTGAGCCAGCTTGTTGGCCGACGGGTGCCTTTTCTTACCACAGTGTATGTACCCTGCAGCACACAGTAAGATTGATTCTGCAAGTCCTTATATCAAGGTTGAGGTACTTCCAATGGATGACTAAAGACTATTATCAAACTAACCAAGAATGCTATTACTGGTCATATTGGATGATAAGATCAGAATTCAAAAGAACCTCAATAAGTTTTAAATAATAATAAACAAAATATACTTCAATAGAGCACAAAGAAGAAAAACAAGTTCTACAAAATGAATAAGTGACTGGGTCCAAAGGCACTGAGGAAGGCTAAGAGTCATGGCATTACCAGGTGAACAAAGATCATTCTGTAGTCATATGCTGGGCTGTACTGCAGGAGGTTGCAAAATTCTGAAGTAAAATTCTTACAACTTTACAACAACATCTCACAGGAATAATACAGATATAATTGCTTTCTCCACAATCAAGTATTTAGAGAACTTCCAGATTCCAATGTAGAGAATAAGAGCTTAGATCCAAAGAATGGAGATAACAGAGGGAAAGAAAACCAACTAGAACAAAAGTGTCTTCAGTATAGAAAAGAGTGTGTCTAGAAAATAAGCATCTGTCCCCAGAAATAAAAGTATTCTGATTGTGATAAAAACTAGGTAGCCTTATCAAAGGAAGAAATACAGTGCTTAGAGCACAGCTCCACAGCGGCGGCTGCCAAGTTCTGGCTTTGTTTTCTTCCCTCCGGCCGGGTCACTGGGAGACGTCGGCAGTCGGTGAAAATGCCTCAGACCCTGCCAAGGCGTCCTGAGGACTCCCTCTGGCCCACCCTGGCCGCGTCACTCTCAACCAGCTTGTCAGCTCACTCGCATCCCTTTCCCTGGGCCAGCCTCATGGTCCAGGTACAACAGTTTCTCCCTCTAACAGCCCCAGTCCGGTTCTCAAGCCGGAAGTACGAGCGGGCCTCTCCGGGCGGCCAGGACGCATGCGCGATGGCCCCGGCGCCTCCTCCGGGCTCCGCGGCGGGAGCGAGCCGGTGGGCGCTTCAGCCGCGCGCACTTCCGGGACGCGGCGCGGGGCTCTGTGGAATCTGCTAGTTTGGTGCACAGCGCGGATTGAGGGCGAGAGATCCAGCTGGGTGTGAGTGGGCGCCCGTAGAGGCGCAGAAAGAGAAGGCGGTAGATCTGGGGTCCCCGGAGCTGCCCCAGAAATGATTCACGAACTGCTCTTGGCCCTGAGTGGGTACCCAGGGTCTATTTTCACCTGGAACAAGCGGAGTGGCCTGCAGGTATGCATGGGGTCGGAGACGAGGCGCTGCAGCGGGGCGGGTGCAGCTGAGCCGCCGCGGAGGGGCGGGACCCGGGGGACTCCGACTACCGGCGCCCTCGAGCGCAGAGAAACTGAGGACCAACCCTATGTAGCTCCGGCTTTGGGGTCCCTTCGGTCCCGCGACTCCTACTAGGGAACCACTAGGAGTGGCTAGAACTATACTTCTTTTCACTGCATATAAATTTGTTGTTAAACTGCATCCCTAAATGTGTAGCTGGAATTAGATGATCGTTTGTTATTTGGGGAAAAGGGGAGAGGGATAGGGCACTCCTGTGTATTCACGTTTGCATTGATTCAAATTGAATTTTGAAAGTAGTGGGGATATATACAAAGAGCTCAAGACTCAGTAAATTGTGTTGGATGCAAAAAATGTATTTGTAAGCATATGGTGTTTCCCTCCTTTCTTCGGAAACTTCTGTGTCAGATGAAGAACTTGAAAGGAGTTTTCCTGTAATTAGATGAGTATAAGGGAAATGTACCGATTAGTTGTTTTCTCTTCCTCTCCCCTTCTCCTTTCTTTCTCTCCCCCTCTCCCCCTGTGAGAAACCCAGATGTAGCATGATACTCAATATTTCGCTGAAACAAAATTGGCAACACTGAGTTTAATAGACTGACTTGGAGACAGACATAATGTCTGTGCCCGTAACCCCAGCCTCTGGGAGCCCGAGGTAGGATTATTGCTGTGATTCAAGTCCCGCCTGGGCTTCAGTGTGGAACCCTCTCTCAAAAAAGACAGAGAGAAAAAAAGGAAAACAGAGGGCAGAGAGAGGCAGAGACAAGTGGGGCTCTCTAAGTGTGTTGTGTAAAATGGTATCACTACCTTCAAGGTGGAGTTTACTTTTTCAAGGTAATTAAGCCTAAACTAGATTTTTTTTAAACTAGAGTATGTGTGTATGTCGTGTGAGTGTGGGCATACATGTCACAGAGAGTATGAAGAGGCCAACTTTGTAGACTCACTTCTCTCTTTCCACCCTTATGTAGGTTTCAGGAATTGAATTCAGGTCTTCAGGTTTGTGTAGCCAGTGACTGACCCACTGAGCCATTTCACTGATCTTAAACCTAGAACTTTTCTAAAACTCTGTAAACAAGAAGTGTTCAGATTTGATGATAACTGTGTAGAAATGTCATCAGTAATAAAAGGCAGGCACACGCACACATATATTGAACACTTAACTGTGATTAACACCTATCATTTATATATATTATCTATTTTTTTTTTTTCCGAGACAGGGTTTCCTGTAGCCCTGGCTGTCCTGGAACTCACTCTGTAGACCAGGCTGGCCTCGAACTCAGAAATCCGCCTGTCTCTGCCTCCCAAGTGCTGGGATTAAAGGCGTGCGCCACCACTGCCTGGCTATATATATTATCTAATTATCACAGTTATCTCTACTTTTTACTTATGAAAACTAAGACATTGAGAGGTGCCATAACATAACTTGCCTAAGCTTTCAAGCAAAACATAATCTGAAGATACAAGCCAAGGGAGTCTCTGTCCCTATCTCTCTGTCTGTCCTCTCTCTCCTCTCCCCTCTCCCCCTCTGCATAAGTCAGATAACTTGCAAGAATTTTCTACTATGAGAGTCCCAGAACATCTTTCCAGCCTCTGTTGTGTGAATTCTGTACTCTAGATTACCTATTTTAAGAACAAGCAATTACATCTGGATGAGAAATACTACCTTGTAATAGTGTAACAATACCTTGTTAATCAGAATTACCAACCCAGTAACAAGGAAAGTTAAAGCCAAGTAAAAACCATGGGCACCTTAAGGAAAGGACATAGAAAAGAGAATGTAAAGCATTTTAAGCCCTAAAGAACCTTGCTTGGTGACTAGCAGGCATTAGCTTTCTTTGTGACTATCTCTCTTCTTGCAGGTTTCCCAGGATTTTCCATTTCTTCACCCCAGTGAGACTAGTGTCCTGAATCGACTCTGCCGGCTTGGCACAGACTACATTCGATTCACCGAGTTCATTGAGCAGTACACGGGCCATGTGCAGCAACAGGTGGGGTTCTGTTCTCTGGAGATGGGCTTCTACAGGGCAGGAGTGTATCAGGGCTCTCAGGGAAGTCACTGGTAAAGTAAATGAGGAATTTCTGGAATACTCCTGAGTTTATGAATCACTGGAAATGCTCAAGGGAAGGCAAGATTGCTGATTGGATTTTCTTGGGTAACAACAAAAATTCTCTACTTGTGTTCTTACACAGGTTTTTGTATAATGAGATTGCATGAGAATTCCTACTTCTCAAGTTCTAAAGTCCTATGGTGCTTTTTTTTTTTTAATAACAGTAACAACATTTGTGTTAATGAGTGATAAATGAAGACACGTTCTGGTTTTCTTTAATACCATAAAAGCAGAATAAAATTGGCTGGTCATAAACCAGTCTGGTCTCACGCCCATTCTATGAACATTTCTCTTTAGGAACTTCAGGATCCTTCTGGTATTTTTTGTAGCATCTTCTGGCTGACTACATTGTGTTTTCTAACCTCTGAACCCAAGCTTCTGTAACACATCTGGTACGGAATTCTGTACTTCTGTACTCTGAGAGCCTGGTTACCCAGATCTCTACCTCCCTTATAGACTCTAGCTAACTGTTACTCATTACTTCCTCATATAAAACTATATGAGAAGTTTTATATGAAACTGACCAGATTCACTAGGCTCCTCCCTCCAAAAAATAAAAAATAAAGACTACTGAGTCACTCTCAGACAAGCCCAGCTACAGAGAAGACTCGGTCAAGCCAAGCTGCCTGGAGAGCAGCAGGGACCAACCAAACAACCTGAAAGATTCCTGAAAGACAAACCATATTTTATATAACCCCTCAATGAGAGTCTTAATGTTTTTAAGATTTCATGTTTTTATTTCATGAGTATGAGTTCTGTTTGCTGCATATATGTGCACCATGTGCATGTCTTGTACCTGCCCAGGCCAGAAGGTATTGAATCCCCCAGGAACTAGAATTACCAGTAGTTATGAGCTACCACTGGGAGAAACACCTTAAGACAGAAAGTCAGCAACTTAGAATATCTTCAGGAAGTCCCTAAATCCAGACCCCTCCCTTTGAAGCAGCCCAAAAGAAGTAGAAACCAGCTTAGAAGACGCTCAGACCAACTGAGCTACCTGGACAGGATAATCCAACCTGTTGAGCTGCCTGTAGGCTATGCAGTGTGCTCCAGGTTCTCAGATTTGTGAGCTGTCAACCATGTTAGGCTGGGGTTTGGTGAGTAGCCCCTCAATCATATTCCTGTAAATAACCCAAATAAAACTGATTGGTTCACAGTGGTATCTATAGTTTGGTCTGTCTTGGCTCCCCATCTAGTGACTAGAGGAGGGTGTGTGTGTGTGTGTGTGTGTGTGTGTGTGTGTGTGTGTATTGTATTTCTTCAAGAAAAATCTTGTCAAACAACAGACACTAGGAACCAAATCCTACAAGAAAACCTTTCCCCTTAACCGTACTATGACCATGGAGAGGTCATGTCAGTGCTTCTTTATGAGCCCCCTCAAATATACTTTATCTTCAGTCATTTATCCTCTTTCTTCTGCCAAAGCACTGCTTTGATATGGAATTATTTATAAAAGATATAAGTACTACTAGTAAAAGACAGTGTCTTCTTGGGTTTCTGGATCTGAGCTGAGACGTTGCCTTTTTCTTTGTTTATTTGCAGGATCACCATCCGTCCCAGCAGGGCCAGGGCGGACTGCATGGGATCTACCTGAGAGCCTTCTGCACAGGGCTGGATTCAGTTTTGCAGCCTTATCGCCAAGCACTGCTTGATTTGGAACAAGAGGTGAGAAGGAGGTAATATAGAAAACAGCATCCTGAGGGGATAGCAGATTAGAGCATGTTCTTGACTTGGAAGTGGCCTTTGATAAGGTCAGCTAGTTAAGAGTGAGCTGTGTGGCTAGAGGGTACAGTATTCAAGGTGGCTACAGAGCGGACCTGCCGTCTGAACAGTAACTCTGTCATCTATTAGTTCTGCAGAGCTTAAAGCCAGCACTGAGCCCCTTGTCACATTCTCTCATAGTTTATATAGAGGAAATCAATTCAAGTTGCTTGTGTAGGATTCTGACACGTGTGCTTTCGTTGCAGTTCCTGGCTGACCCGCATCTCTCCATATCACATGTCAATTACTCCTTAGATCAGGTGAGCCTCGGAATGCTGAACCTAAGGTCAGAGCCCAGTAAATATAGTTTCTGAATTTTATTAGCTGAGCTTTGGTAGATGAGAAGTGCTTTAAGAGTGTGGTGTATGTGTCGTCTGCCTGTCATCCTGGTGCTCAGGAGGAAGGGGCTAACCTAGACTACAAGTTTTCTTCAGTGAGTTCTAGGCCAGCTTTTTTTTTAAAAAAAAAAAAAAAAAAACCTGAACAAAAAAGAGTTCTACATTGAATTAGCCCTTAATGTGATGTGAATATTGTCCTGTTGACATGGGTAGTGGCAAGGACACAAGACTCAGTACAAAGTGTTTCAGCGTCAGAGTGACTTAGGGTGCTCACCTTGACTAATCTGTGGTATTGCATCTGGAAACAAAAGTGTTACTTTTCTCCCCACGCCCGTTTTTGTTTTTTGTTTGTTTTTTATTTTTTTGAGACAGGGTTTCTCTGTGTAGCCCTGGTTGTCCTGGAGCACTCTGTAGACTAGGCTGGCCTCGATTTCACAGATCCACCTACCTCTGCCTCCCTAGTGCTAGGATTAAGGTGTGTACTTTTAATCTTGAGTTGATCTTTTTTTTTGTCCTGTATTTAATTCACACCCTGAGTTTTCTCTGCTTTGCAGTTTCAGCTCCTTTTCCCCTCTGTGATGGTTGTAGTGGAGCAAATTAAAAGCCAAAAGGTAAGAACTTTGTTATGATAAACTTCAAAGAAAATAATAATAATCAGTGCTACTTTACAGTCTTTTTTGGAAGACACTGCTTTTAATATTAATTTATTTGTTTAGCATTATCTCTTTGCAGTTCATACAAAATGTCAGATGTGCAAGAATAAGACATTATGATTTCTTTAAACACCTTGTGACTGAGAAAGTAGAGTATGTAGACCTACCTGAGAATGTTGCTGAGGTTAGAGAAAATACTTTGGGTGTTTGGTGGTGAAAGCAGGTTGTACTAAGGGTTTAAAACCACTGATGTTGAATATGGACAAGAAACCTGCTTAGAAAGAAAGAAGATGGTTTTCTGAGAGTTAAGAATCACTGGGTAAATCCAGCTTGTCGTGTTCATGCATGGCACCCATTGTCACAAGTTTCTTCACACATTGCACAAGTAAGTTCCCCACATCAGAAGATTGTCTTTTTTGAGTGGAGTTAATATATATGAGGAAACGCCTTAGGTATTTTATACTATAGGAATTCTCTTCTTCTGTTTACCAATTATTGGACTAAGTAGACAAATTGATTATGCTCAGCTCAGTTCTCCATGTTTTTCTAGCTGTAGTATCTGTGCCTTAGGTTGTTATTTGTAGTGTAGTTGACCAATTGACTTACACTGTAGCTGCTTTACTTTTTCAGTGAGTGTAGAAATGTAAAGCTCTGCTCCATTGACTCTGCTAGCAAAGCCAGTAGGAAAGTGCTTCAGAGATGACTGCCCTCATGAAAGTACAGTAGTTATTGCTCTGTGCCATGCACTTGTTAAGGGCTTTACATATGTAATTACGTATGCTCAATCAGGGTCATAGAGAACAAGATCTGTGTAACTCAAAGACTGGGCTCTTAACCTCTCTATTAAGCTTGAAATGGGTAGGACCCTCCTACATGAATGGAGTTACTGGTGAGTGTACAGAAGTCCATGCCTAGCTGCATATCTCAGTTGACTTTCACCTTCCATTGGCTACAGGAAGAATGGGGACCAATTAGAGGGACTTAGATGAGTGACCCTTCTTACCTGGCCAGGTAGTGATACAGGAACTAGTGTGCTGGTGCTCCGGGTAAAAACTGAGGTGTGTGAGACCTTGGGCTGAGGGGGAGAATGGGGACCAATTGCAAATGGACTCACCTAAGGGGATTGCTTTTAGAGTGATAGAATATTGTAAACTTGTATCAGAGTGATGGTTGTGTAAGTCTGTAAATTTACTAAAAGTGCTTAAATAATACACTTAAGATAGGCATGTAAATTTAAGATAAACAAGTTATACCTCAAAGTGATTTATAAGAAAAGCCTGGAGGGCATAGAGACTTCCAATTAGGCGCAGGTTTCCTACCTAATAAGTAGTCTGACTTGAACCTTATGTAAGACTTTTCCTTTGTTTTGAAATGTCAATTCCCCTCTGGTTGACTCTGGTTTCTTCAATGAATTGCCTCTCAAACTAATGTGTTTATTAGAATGTATTAACAAGCACCTAGAATGCTTGTTATACCGTAGGTTTACCCCCAAAATTTGCATTTATTTAATTTTTTTTTTTTTTTTACCAACTTGATAAACTAGAATCATTTGAGAAAAGGAACCTCCATCAGATTACCTGTGGGCAAATTTATAGTGCATTTTCTTGATTAATGATTGATGTGGGAGGCCCAGGTCACTACAGGCAGTGCCACACCTGGGCAGGTGGTCTTGGATAAGGCAGGTTGAGCCAGCCATGGGGGTGGGAGTGGGGCACAGTAAGCCAGTAAGCAGCATTTCCCTATGGCCTTTGCTTCAGTTACTGCCATGAGCTCTTGCCCCTACTTGCCTTCATAATGACCTATAAACTGAAATAGCCCTTTCCCCAACAAGTTGCCTTTAATCCTGGTGTTTGTCACAGCTTTAGAAACCTGAGACAACAGGTAACACTGATGCTGAGGGCAGAGGAGTCTGTTTGCCTTTGCAAATTGGCTATATAGAAATCTTGTGAGGGACTATGTTAGCCTTCTGTACTGGACTGTGCTTTCTTGGTTGATGTAGAATATGAGTCTGTGTAACCTAGATTGATAAGGCTATATTTTCCACAGATTCATGGCTGTCAAATCCTGGAAACAGTTTACAGACATAGCTGTGGGGGGTTGCCTCCAGTTCGAAGCGCATTAGAAAAGTAAGTCCTGGCTTCCATAAGTACTTCAAATAGAGGAGGGAGTCGAGTGACTTTACTCATGGTCTATTTTCAGGTCGTAGCAGGTGGATCATCTTAATGTGTTCTTGGATTCTGTTTGCAAGTATATTATTGGGAATTTTTGCATCAATGTTCATAACTGAAATTGGTCTGTAATTCTCCTTCTTTGATGGGTCTTTATGTTTATGTGGTTTGAGGATCAGATAACTGGCCCCATAAAACAAATTGGGCAGTGTTCTTTCTGTTTCTATTTTGTGAAATAATTGGAGGAGTGTTGATATGAACTCTTCACTGATTTCATCCTGAGTATGATTATTTTTTGCTGTCTACTTCTTTTGAATGTGAATTCTTTTTGTTCTAGAGCCTTCAGGTGTGCTAATAAGCTACTAGTATGAGATCTCTCCAATTTTTTTCTTTTCTTTTTTTTTTTTATAAGTGACAAATAACTTATTTTATTTGTTTGTTTATATTTTTTAATATGAGTGTTCCATCTGCAGGTACACCTGCATGTCAAGTTAGGGCATCAGGACCCTTTATAGATGGTCATAAACCACCATGTGATTGCTGGGAATTGAACTCAGAACCTCTGGAAGAACAGCCAGTGCTCTTACCTGCTGAGCCATCTCACCAACCCTATCTCTCCAGTTTTTTTATGTAGGCACTTAATGCTATGAACTTGCATTAGAATAGCCTCCATTTTATTTTATAAATTTTGATATGTTGTGTATTCATTTTCATTTAATTCTAGAAAGTCTTCCTTTTTTAATTTCTGTCTTGTCCCATTTTTCATTCAGTCGTGAGTTGTTTAGTTTCTATGAGTCTGTGAGGTTTCTGTTATTATTGATATCCAGTTTTAATAGTCAGATAGGATATAGGGTGTTACTTCAATTTTCTTGTAACTCTAGAGACCTGCTTTGTATCCAAGTATATGGTCAATTTTGGAGAAAGTTCTATGAGGCGCCAAGAAGAAGGTATATTCTTTTGTGACTGGGTGAAATGTTCTGTAAATACCTGTTAAGTCCATTTGGTTTATAACATCAGTTAGCTCCAGTATTTGTCTGTTTAGTTTTTGTCTGGATGACCTGTTTATTGGAGAGAGTGGGATATTGAAGTTTACCACTGTTAGTGTCTGAGGGTTGGTATGTGATTTAAGCTGTAGCCGTATTTCTTTTATGAACGTGGGTGTCCTTGTGTTTGATGCATGGATGTTAAGAATTGAGTGTCTTTTTGGAATTTTCCTTTGATGAGTACGTAGTGTATTCCCTGCTGCTTCTTATTAGTTTTGGTTTAAAGTCTGTTTTGTCAGATATTAAAATGGCTACATTCCATGCTTCTTAGCTTCATTTGCTTGGAACAGCTTTTCCTTGATGATAAGGTGAGCAGCATTGGTTGATCCTGGTTATTTTGGTGGTGGTGGTGGTGCTGGTGCTGGTGGTGCTGGTGGTGCTGGTGGTGCTGGTGGTGGTGGTGGTGGTGGTGAGTGTTTCTTCTTTTTTGATTTGCTGTCCAGAATTATTCATTCCTTGTGTTTTCTTGGGTATAGTTGACCTCTTTAGGTTGGAGTTTTCCTCCTAGCACCTTCTGTGAGGCAGAATTTATAAATAGATATTGTTTAAATTTGGTTTTACCATGGAATGTCTGGTTTTATCCATCAATGGTGACTGGAAGTTTTGCTGGGTATAGTAGTCTGGACTGGTACCTGTGGTCTCTTAGAATCCATAACACATCTGCCCAGGCCCTTCTGGCTTTTTGAGTCTCCTTTGAGAAGTCAGGCATTATTCTAATGGGTCTGACCTTATATGTTACTTGCTCCTTTTCTCTTGTAGCTTTTAATATTCTTTCTTTGCTCTGTAGGTTTAGTGTTTTGATTATTATGTGCTAGGTGGACTTTCTTTTCTGGTCCAGTCTATTTTGTGTTCTGTGCACTTCCTGTACTTGATAGGTATCTCCTTCTTTAGGTTAGGGGAATTTTCCTCTATGATTTTGTTGAAAATGCTGTCTATGCCTTTGACTTTGGTTTCTTCTCCTTCCTCTGTTTATATTATTTTTAGATTTGGTCTTTTCATCATGTCCCAGATTTCTGGTTGTTTTGTGCCAGGAGTTTTTCAGATTAACATTTTCTTTGACCAAGGAATTTATTTCTTCTATCTTGTCTTCCATGCCTGAGAGTCTCTCTTCTATCTCTTGTATTCTGTTGATAAGACTTGCCTCTGTGGTTCCTGTCTCAGTTCCTAAATTTTTCATTTCCAGATTTCCCTCAGTTTGGGTTTTCTTTATTGATTCTATTTCCATTTTCATGTCTTGCACAGTTTTATTCATTTCCTTCCACTATTCGTTTGTGTTTCCATAGATATCTTTATTTTTAAATTGGATATTTTCTTTATTTACATTTCAAATGTTATCCCATCTCCAGGTCTCCCTTCTGGAGCCCCCTATCCCATCCTTCCTCCCCCTGCCTCTCCATCACCTGCCTACCCACTCCTGCCTTCTCGCCCTGGCATTCCCCTACACTAGGTCATCGAACCCCCTCAGGCCCAAGGGCCACTCCTCCCACTTATGTCCAACAAGGCCATATATGCAACTGGAGCCATGGGTCCCCCATGTGTACTCTTTGGTTGGTGGTCCAGTCCCTGGGAGCTCCAGAGAGTCTGTCCATTGACACTGTTGCTCCCTACATGGGGCTGCAAAGCCCCTCAGCCCCTTCAGTCCCTTCTCCAACTCCCCCATCGGGGACTCCACCACACTCAGTCCAATGGTTGGCTGCAGGCATCCACCTCTGTATTTGTCAGGCTCTGGCAGAGCCTCTCAGGAGACAGCTATATCAGGCTCCCATCAGCAAGCACTTCCTGGCATCTGTGATAGTATCTGGTTTTGGCAACTATATCTGGGATGGATCCCCAGCTGGGACAGTCTTTGGATAGCTTTTCCTTCTGTCTCTGCTCCACACTTTATCTCTCCATAGATTTCTTTAGGGATTTATTCATTTCCTCTTTAGTGACCTCTACCATATTCATATAGGCCATTTGAAGGTCTTTTTCTTGTGATTCATCTATGTTGCAATACAGGGCCTGCTGTGGGTAGTTGGGCTCTGGTGAAGATATCCTGTCCTGGCTGTTACTGTGTTTTCATACTGACATCTAGGGTTTGGGAAGATTATAATTCTAGGTAATTCTAGGTACTGATATCTGGTCTTGTCTTTGTTGAGTGGGTGTTTTGTTCTTTGGTTTCTGCTTCTCTGGTTCTTGAGAGTGTGGTGGCTGTGTGTTGTCTGGTAGAAAAATCTGGGGTCCTGATAGTTGTGGCCACTAGGGGTTCCAGGTAAGATATCATTCCTCATATTGGGAGCTAACACTTAGGAAAGAGAATTGGCTGGGGAAGGGACTGAGGGGCTTCACCAGGATCTGTCTAGTCCCCTAGGAATGGAGGCAGAGAGTGTGGAGAGTCCACACCAGGAGATCTACAGAGCTAGAGGTGAGACTGGGGGATTGGATATGGAGGAATACAGGAATAGCAAAGATCTGGGGTTAGCCTACTCACTTCCCTAGTTAGTGCCTGTGGGTTCCCAAGGGAGTGCTGCTGGAGTTGGGCTGGGAGAAAGTGATTGGGGGAGGGAGGTTAGGAGATGAGGTCTGTGTAAACTAAAGGAGATGGGGATAGAGGGCGAAGGAGGCTGATGCAGGTGTTCTGCTGCAGAGCTGGGGATGAGACTGGGGAATTGGATTTGGAAGAGCAAGGGGAGAGGTTAGCCTACCTGCCTGCTTCCCTGGCCAGAGTGCTATTTAATGTTTTGGTTTTAGTAAAGAATTTCCTTTGAGTTTGTGTATTTTAAATAGTAAACTAAAAAGTTCTATTTCCTTTTCCCCCGCTCTCATTTTGAAAAATATCAATCCTACAAAGAAATTAAATGTAAAGCACTTAATTGTCCTTTAATTTTACCAATTGTTACCATTTTTGTCTAATTTATCTTTTTTCTTTCTCCTATATGCATGTGAAGTATGTACACATCTTCCAATTTTGTTGTTGGGACATTAGAAAGTAGCTGCAGATATCCTAAATAGCTTATCTCTCTTTAGAAGTGAGACATTCTCTCTTTTTAAATATAACCTCAATACCGTATTATATAACAAAAAATTAATATGATACTTAGAATATTTTGAGATTTCTCCATTTGTTCCCCCAAAAGTCCAGTATAGCTGGTCTGTTTTTCACAATCCAGAATCTACTACATTTTCGTATGTTGCATTTGTTATGTCTTTTTAAGTCTATCTTTCTATTCTTCTCATTTTCTTGATGTGCGTCCATGCGTGAGAGTGTGTGTGTGTGTGTGTGTGTGTGTGTGTGTGTTTAGTTTTTTATTCAGAGTCTCAGTCAATAGCCTAGACCTTCTTTGAACTCATAGTGATCTTCCTGCCTCAGCCTTCAATTGCTAGAATTATAGGCATGAGCCCTCATGTTCCTGAGCTTTTTAAAGTCTCCTTCAGTTTGAAACAGCTCCTTGTAGTAGAAGTGATAGCTCAGTGGTTAGGAGCAATTACTGCTTTTTACAGGACATTGTTCAGTTCTCAGCACCCACATGGCAACTGTCTAGCTGCAGCTCTAGTAGGATTAGTCACCTCTCTTTCACAGGCACCTGTTTGTGCCTGTGATACACATACAAAAGCACACATATACATAAAATAAAAATGATTTTAAAAACCTTTAGAACTGTGAGACAGCCAGCTTCCCTTTTGTTGCCGTTGTCTGTGATGATAACATTCAGGAACTCTTAAACACTTATCTGTTGGATGCCCACAGTTTAAACTTTCCTGATTCCTTCTTCGTGATTAGATTCGGGTTAGACATTTTTTTTTTCGAGACAGGGTTTCTCTGTGTAGCCCCTGGCTGTCCTGGAACTCACTCTGTAGACCAGGCTCGAACTCTCGAACTCAGAGATCCGCCTGCCTCTGCCTCCCAAGTGCTGGGATTTAAGGTGTGTGCCACCACCACCCGGCTTGGGTTAGACATTTTTAACAAGAAGACTACATGCATGACATTGTTTCAGAAAGTAAGTTTATCCCATGATGCTTCTGTGGAGTTGATAATGTATCTGTCAGTCTCAGTATTCTAAGTAGACTGGTAAAACTCTTGCTTCCTTCTCTCCTCAGAATCCTGGCTGTATGCCATGGAGTTATGTATAAACAGCTCTCAGCCTGGATGCTGCATGGACTCCTTTTAGACCAGCATGAAGAGTTCTTCATCAAACAGGGTCCATCTTCTGGTAATATCAGTGCCCAGCTGGAAGAGGATGAGGAGGATCTGGGCATTGGAGGCCTGACAGGAAAACAACTGAGAGAACTGCAGGACCTGGTGAGTACAGAGCAGGAAGCCCAGGGCAGCCACCTGTCAGGAACATCTGCACCCACCTCACCTGCTGACCCTGGCTCCTCACAGCCTGGCTGCCTTCCATGAGTGGAGTAGTTAGAAACACGGGGCTTTCTCTTAAGTAGTTAGAGACTACAAAATAGCAAGTGATTTTGAAATCCTTGTTTCTCCTTTCTACATTACATGCTCTTACAAGTTTACTGATGAGTTTTATATTTAAAAACTCAGTGCTAGACTGGGGGATTGATTCCATTGGCCAAAGTGCTTGTTTAAGTGTGAGGACATGGGTTCAAATTCCAAGAACCCATGTAAAAGCCAGATGCTATATACTGTGAACATCTGTTATCTCAGTGCTCTTGCAGAGAGATGGGAGGCAGAAACAGGAGGATCTCTGAAAGCCTAAAGGCTAGCTAGCTTAACATACACAGCAGAACAACAAGGAGACCTGGTCTCAGGGAAGATGTGAAGACAGCACACGTGTGCCACACTGATACACACAGAGGTAAATTAAAAGATAAGGACTCAGTGCTTCCTGCCGTGCCGTATTCTCCATGGAAATGCAATGCTTTTCCAGTGCTGGTGATTTAAGAATTGTAACTTCAGATTTCCACCCTGTTTACCAATAACACAGATTACGGGTTGGGAGTTAGGACTCGTACTTGCCTGACGGGTTATTTTCTTAACTAGCGCCTAATTGAGGAAGAGAACATGCTGGCCCCATCTCTGAAGCAGTTTTCCCTGAGGGTAGAGATTTTACCATCCTACATTCCAGTGAGAGTTGCTGAAAAAATCCTCTTTGTTGGAGAATCTGTCCAGATGTTTGAGAATCAAAATGTGAACCTGACAAGGAAAGGTAAGAATCCCCTTGTTCTGTTGGTCACATCCTCAGAGACTCTTCATCTGCAACATTGGCCCAAAGCATGCTGGGTTAGCGTGACTGATGACAGTGATGAACTGCTGCAGCAAACCAGCTCTGATCGATTTGCCTGGGCCACTGTGGTCCCCTCCACTATGTCTGCCCTGATTCCTGTGTGATGATCATGTTGTCATACTCCACAGGGTCCATCTTGAAAAACCAGGAGGACACTTTTGCTGCCGAGCTGCACCGGCTCAAGCAGCAGCCACTCTTCAGCCTGGTGGATTTTGAACAGGTGGTAGATCGGATTCGTAGCACTGTGGCTGAGGTCTGTCTTCTATCTTATATTGTTCCAGAAGAAATGAGTTTGTAGAGCACTAAAGGGCAAGAGAGAGAAAGAGGGGGAGAGGGAGGGAGGGAGGGAGGGAATGATCGATCAATCAACCTATGGGGCTGGAGAGATGGCTCTGGTTAAGAAAGAGCACTGGATTCAACTTAGGTTCAATTCCGAGGACCCACATAGTAGCTTTCAACCATGTGTAACTCCAGTTCTAGGAGATCCAGTGCCCTCTTCTGACTTCCAAAGGCACTAGGCAGACATACTGATACAGATAATCATTCAGGCAAACACCCTCACATATGAAAATAAATAAATAAAAGAACGTCCATTTTTCAGGTAGAAATGGAACTTCCACTGGTGTGTTTTAATCATAGATTAAAGCGGAAGTCTCAGTTTAATTTCTAACACTCATGAATTTGGGTGAGGAAAAGCTTTGTGTCTGTATGTGTTTTAGTATCGACCATGTATTTCACTTGTACACAGTAGTCTTAGGAGGAAAGTCAAGCACATAGGATGGTGGTCCGGACCCTTGAAACAAGTGGGAAGGTCTGAGTAGGGATTCTAGGTACTGGTACATCTTAAGCTGAGGGTGCTTATATTGATTGGTATATTCACTGTGAACTTCAAGGTGTAAGTTTGTGATTTATTTGTTTTTCTGTGTAATAGTCACTACTTTGACAATAAGGTTTTAAAATTTTGGATCTGTAAGAGAAAACCTCTTGTATCTAAAGTTTTTTATTATTTATACAGAGACAAGGTAATGCTAATTTATTGCTGGCTAATCTTATACATTCCCCTTAACTCTGTGTAGCTAACCTTTTTTTTTTTTTAAAGGTTTATTTATTTTATGTATGTGAGTACACTGTTGCTCTCTTCAGACACCCCATAAGAGGGCATCAGATCCCATTACAGATGGTTGTGAGCCACCATGTGGGTGCTAGGAATTGAACTCAGGACCACTAAAAGAGCCGTCAGTGCTCTTAACCTCTGAGCCATCTCTCCAGTCCCTGGGAAACTAACTTAATTCTGAGGTTTGATACTATAAAATTTTTATGTACTAAAGATGACATCAACTGAAAATGACAAGTGTTTTACAACATTTCTTCTAATGTTTAACACCCCCCATACATTGTTCTAGGATCTTTATTGATACAGTGGGCAGGTGGGCTTTGTTTGCATAAATTGTGTCAAACAGCAGAGATAATATTGGACATCTCTGATTCCTGACTCTTAGAGATGCAGAGAATTCATGCATTACTATGACGTTTCCTGTAGGCTTCTAGAAGCAAGTTTAATAAAGTATTCTCTTCCGAGTTAACCGAGTTTGTGTCCTATGTCAGTTTTGCCAGTTGCCCCGTTAGTGAAGGAGAGCACTCTTGCCTTGACTCCAGTTCATAAAGTTTCTGTATCTGTATGTACTAGTTAAGAAAGACGATTGCCTCTGTCTTATTCTTGGCTAGTTTTTACATAAGCTTTATAGAATGGGTTAGGTAGCTGCTTTTGTTTCTTTTCTTTTTGATTGTCAAAAATAGTCTGTATTAGTAATTGTTACTGAAAGTTTGAACTTATCTGAAATGATCTAAGCTAGACTTTCTTAGGAAGCAAAACTTTACGGGTTGAGTATGTTTTAAAACTAAACTACCATAAAATTTCTTCTTGTAACAATTTTGATAAATGTAGCTTTGGAACTTGCCTATTTCAGATAGATTTAATTTTTTTTAAATACTTGCTTATCTATAAATATATTTTGTTTACTCAAATTTTGTCTTTTAAAAATTATTTTGTGGCCTGTCAGTGGTAGCATTCGGGAGGCAGAGGCAAGTAGATCTTTGCGTTTGAGGCCACCTTGGTCTATAGAACAATAGCCAGGGCTACACAGAGAAACCCTGCCTAGAAATTAATTAATTAATTAATTAATTAATTGTGTGTGGTGTTTGTGTGTGCCCGTGCATACCACCAGAGATTAGTTTCAGATATCTTCTGTTTTCACTCTCTACCTTACTTGTTAGGACAGCATCTTTCTGAACCAAGAGCTCACCATTTAGGCTAGCCTGGCTGGCCAGTGAACCCCCAGCATCTCCCTGTCTTGCAGTCTCTCACCATTGGGCTATAGGCATGAGCCACTGCACTCAGCTTTTACATAGATACTGGAGATCTGAACTCCGGTACTTATGCTTGCTTAGAAAGATTTTTGATCACTGAGCGAACTGTCTCACCAGCCCTAGTTTTTCTCATTATTTAAGTCTTGTTAGGCTTTTATTAAGATTAATATACTAGTTAGAACCAGCTTTTTCCCCTCAATTTATTTTTTTTAAAGATTTATTTATTTATTGTATATGAATACACTGTAGCTGTCTTCAGACACACCAGAAGAGGGCATCGAATCTCATTACAGATGGTTGTGAGCCACCATGTGGTTGCTGGGATTTGAACTCAGGACCTCTGGAAGTGCAGTCAGTGCTCTTAACCACTGAGCCATCTCTCCAGCCCCCCCTTAATTTAAAGCATACTAACTTATACATTAAAAATTATATATAAATGGAAAATCACATTATTTCAATGCATAGATAAGTTGTGATTTTTTTTTTACATGTATGGGTGTTATACCTGCATGCATATCTGTGCATCACATGCCTGGCTGGTGCCCTCAGAGGCCAGATGAGGATGCCAGATTCCCTGGAACTGGAGTTCCAGATGGTTTTGAGCCACCTTGTAGGTGCTGGGAATGAAACTCAGGTTCACTGGGAGATTAGCTACTGTTCTTAACTGATAAGCCATCTCTCCAGTCCTTTTTAAAAACAAACAAACAAAAAAAATGGGATTGCTGCATTTTCAAGCTAGCCTGGAGTTGGTGGTCATCTTCCTGCTTGCTATAGTTTCCCAGTGCTGCACTGATGGGTGTGTGCCAGAAAGCCTAGATTTCCTTTTTCACTTTTATAAGTCATGAACTAATGGAGAATTTTAGCCAATGCTTTTTCTGCATCTCCAGATGTTTTTTCTATTAATTTTAATGTAGTAAGTTACACTAGTGCTTTTTTGAGACAGGGTTTCCTTATGTAGAGACTCTTCCTGTTCTGGAACTCACTATATTGATTAGGCTGGCCTTGAACTCAACAGAGATCCTCTTACCTCTGCTTCCCGGATGCTGGAATTTAAGGCATGAGCTACCATGCTTGGCTACCATCATGCTTTTTCAAAAGCTGATTGAGATAAAATTCACACAAGTATTCAACTTTGTAGACATTTAAAAATGGTATTCAATCCAGTGGTTTTTAATTTCACAGAGTTGTATATGCAGCTGTTACCATTAATTTCAGGACATTTTTATCTTGCATAGGTTTTGTTTCTAACTGTCCATCTGCTCACTCCTAGGGTTAGCTGAATGTGGGTTCACTGTAATGGACTGTTGTGTTTTGTATCTCATCACAGCACCTCTGGAAGCTAATGGTGGAAGAGTCAGATTTACTGGGTCAGCTGAAGGTAATAACTGATACTCTTTTAAATCCTGAAATGATTCTGGAAAGCATCCTTACCTAGTCTTCCACAGTAGATTCATTTGTTCTTACTCAAGTGAGGAAAATACATTCTATGCTACAAGTCTTTTGTACTCAAGATTCAAGCTTATTTTCTTCTGTTGTGATGCAAATACCATCAAACACAGAGTCTTCCTGCTTTGAGAGGCTTCTCTATATGTCTCTTTAAAATGTCAAGCCTGTATCCTTCAGACTGCTAGTATCAGCCTCTCTGTGTCTAATTCCTTTGAGGTAGTAAGGGCCTCCAGGCTCTGATTTACTGAATTGTACATTGAAATTCTTTCCTCAGATCATTAAAGACTTTTACCTTCTGGGACGAGGAGAGCTGTTCCAGGCCTTCATTGACACAGCTCAACACATGTTAAAAACACCACCCACTGCAGTGACAGAGCATGGTAATTTTCCTATGGCCCTGAGAGTAAAGTTTGCTCAAGGTGCAGGATGTTCCTGGCTGATGTTGTGTGTTGCCTGTTTGCCTGCAGAGGCCAGAAGAGGGAGGACTTGAGTCACAAGCCTGCGTGAGCTGCCTGGGTGGGTGCTTGGAAGAGAGTCTAGGTCCTCCGCTAGAGCCACCAATGCTTTTTTTTTTTTTTTTTTTTTTTGAGATTTAATTTCTGTGTGTATGCTTGCTTGAACGTATGTATGTATGTATGTATGTATGTATGTATGTATGTATGTATGTA